AAGGCCATTAAGCTTTTTAACTTTTCTATAAAGGCTTAAATAGTAAGACCCCTATAGCAGGCTATTATTATAGAATTTAAATTATATAAGGTTTATCTATCTTAATAGTATAATTACTGCCTTAACCAGGCAGTATTAATGCCAGCTATAGGTCTACTCTTAGCAGCTAGGTTACCCTTCTTCCTTTATCCTACCTAAAGGACTAAGATACTGCAGGTCAGCTTCTAGTATAATAGGGAAAGAGAGGAGTCACAGGCCTGCTCTTTAATTAACCTTTATAACATACCGCGCCTAGTCTATCTATTACACTTCTACTTAAAGGTTAGTTAGGCCCTGACTAAGTAAGCAATTAAGCATAAACTTATAAGTAAGTTTCCTAACCTGGCTTCTAACCCTTCTTACTAATAATATAATAGTTATACTGCCTTAATGCCTATTATATAAAATAGCCTATAGCTATATAATTATACCTACTATATAACTAGCTATAACCTTAATCTAGCTATTAGGCCTGCCTTAAATATAGCTAATAAAGAAGAACTTAAAGAGATTTATATAATAATAGCTACTATTAGGAAGAACTTCTTATTAAGATATAAATCTAACCTTATTAAGATAGCTATTTTTAATTATAGCCTAATCTAGCTAATTAGTTATATAAATTAGAGGCATTATATTAGTTTAATTAATCTAAACTAGGTTAATTCTAAGCTATTAGGTCTTAAGGATCTAAAAAGGGGCCTAAGGAAAGGTTATTATCTTCGGTTAGATTAGGCAGCCTTCCTTACTGCCTTTATAGGTAACTTAGTTATATATAAATAGTAGCTCTTTAATATATCTAAAAGGGTTATTATTATCAAGGGGGAGCTGCTCCTGAATTAGTAAGGGGAGTCTATATATAGAGTTAGATAAACATAGGGTAAAGGCAGGGTTTTATAGAAAGTTAAAGGAATTAGGTTAACTTTTATATAAGTTAGTTAGTAAAAGTTAAATTAACCTAAAGTTATAACTAGCCTCTATTAATTAAATATATATAGTAAGGCATATAACTAATTAACCTTATATATAAGAATAAATAAAGTAAAGTTAGTAAAAAGTCAGTGGTTTAAACTAGGGATAATAAGCTTATAAAGGCATAATATAAGCCCTAAGATAATAAAAAAGATATAATATTTATAAAACTAATTATATTATTAAATAATTACTATAAGTAAGATAATTAGCTTTAATAGGAAACTTAATAAGTTAAGAGAAAGAGGAGGCTTAATAGCTTTATTAAAGCCTTAGATTAATACCTTTATTTTAAGTATATTAATTTAATTTAAGTTAAGTAAGTTTATAGATAATTTTATTTTAAGTAATTAAGTTAGACCCCTAAACTTGACTTACTTGAATTGAAGTCAGCGCTGACGCCGGCAGATGCAGTCGCGAGAATGGTATTTTGCTGAACTCGGAGATCGATAATAAGATCAAAAACCGGAACCTGAAGCCAGAGCTCTATAAAGAGGAAGCTATCAAGACCGTCACCTGGGGCAAGCAATGGGTTTCTTTTGATGATGAAGACACGCTTAAGATGAAGGTTGACCGCGCCGGAGAGCGATGTCTGGGCGGTGTCATGGTTTGGGCGATCAGCCATGATACAAGAGATGCCAAGTACAACAAGGCATTGGCCAAAGTACTCGGTCGCAAAGTGATAAGCGGCTCATTGGACGATGACGAGAAGGCGGCCGACTTCGTGAAGAAGCCTTACGAGCAGTGCCGGTGGACGAACTGCAAGGAGCCATGTCCTAAAGGCTGGGTACATGTCGGCCGTAGTGACCCGGGGGCTCGGAAAAACGAGCTGATGTATGATGAGACAGCCTGCGGCGGTGATGGCATTCATTCTTTCTGCTGTCCTCCTAATTACGACATCCCAATATGTGGCTGGTGGGGACATTTCAATGGCAAGTGTGAGAAGGAATCATCTTGCCCAAGCGGGATGGTCGAGATTGGTACAAACTCGATGAAATGCGAGAAGCCACCACGCGTACAGACTGCTTGCTGCAAGCCCGACACTGTGAGCATGCGGGTCTACGATACTTGTCGATGGGGAGCGTACCCAGAGTGCAACACCAGCCCCGAATGCCCCGGCGACTACTACAACTGGCCCATGGCCTCATCTGGGTCAGGCTCCGGTGCATTGAGGTGCAATGATCTCAAGAACGACCTCGGTACTCCGATCATTGGCGTACAGATGCGCAACTACTGCTGCAACACCAAGCCTGGCCTTCGTTTCATTGACTGTCAAGTCCGTCGTGACTTTGGTCCAGCACCAGACGGAGAAGACCTTGCAGGCTACTGTCGTAGTGGATGCCCAAGCGACCGTGTGAGAGTGGCCCTTGACACTGCCTTTCACACCTGTACCTCCAAGCTAGAAGGAGGCCAGGTTACCTGTTGCAAGACAGACTACTACGATGAGGTACTCGTTCCCAATGAGAAGATCACGGCGTACAAGGAAGCCATGGCCGACTGGCTTGAGAACGAGACATGTCCAAACCCGTCCAAGGTATTGGGCAAGCGATCTACAACAGACTTGGTCGTGCGGGAGGACGACATTGATGATATTTCGTCTTACTTACTACTCCGAAACATTCTGAGTGAGACAGGAAGCCCAGTGATGTTAGCTCAAGAGGTGAATATCTGGAATAGTGCAGTTCGAGCTCGGTACGAGTTTCTACAGATCACCTACATCAGTAGCTACATCAGAGACAACTGGCGCTTGGATTGGCAAGGCCCTTCTCAGATGGCGATCGATATCCTGTGCGAACCTCTTTATTGGGCTCTAAGGATTAAGGCCTTCCTGACTGGCGACGAAGACGCTGTTGCAAGCATTGGGAACTGTACATATGCCTATTGCGACGAAAAGGGTTACTGCGAGAACTTGAGCGATGCTGTGGAGAGCGCTGATCTCAAACGTCGTCACGCACACCTGGATTATCATTTCAGCCACTTCACCCACTCCCATCATCACCACAGCCGCCACATTCTTGAAGCTCGAGCGCGTGAAGATATCGAGATCAAGGATCCCGACGACCCAACGGAACGACATAGATACCGGCTCGAGGTTCCTTCCGTAAGTCAACTCTGTCTAGCTACGCAACTCTTAGCTGCCAGCTAACCTAGAGAAGAACCCGTCGGTAGACGTAATCGCAAAGAAAAATCCCAAGAACCCGCTGCTTGATCAAGTAGTCGAGATCACACATCCCGATCTATGCAAGGCTTCCCTGGTCATGTTGACCGCATACCGCGACCCACGTATTGTGGCATTAGAGGGTACGTGTCATGGGACCTCCCATTAACCAGTCAGGTTTAGTTTATTTCTAATATTTGGCTTAGTGGAGCATGTGCTTGACAAGCATATACTCAAGGACTTCATGAGGGATTCAGTGACTGGAAAGTAAGCATTGCCTAGCAACCTCTTTGGGTATCTGAAAATCTTGCTAACAAAGATTACTAGACTTCAATCGGGCGCAACATCGAAATATGGACCGATTCCTGTTGCGTTTTGGGATAGAATGGATGATATGAACCTGGAACTGGAACGTGGAGTTCCAGCTCTTCCGGGAGGTAGAACCGGAGACCTGGGGTTTGTGATGAATCGCGCTTTTGAGTGTTTGGGTAGCGCAGAGAACGACCAAATTTTCATGATTGTTCAGAAGGATATCAACGATGCTAAAAACAACGTAAGTCCTTTATTTGTCTCGGAGATTTCTTCTTTCTCTACTCTTTGCATTTCTTTTATAATCGATTTGTGTTCGAGGCATTATCTAGAAGACGCACCGAGTGTATGCTAACATATGCAGGTAATGCAATTACATAGAACCATCGCTAAGCGCTATTTGCCGTTCTTACTTGCCACAGCTGGCAAAACAAAGGAAGAAATAGAAGACGACAGGAGTAAGGTACTTTCCCGCATCCGTGCAGGCTTCAGCGTGTTTCGATATATGCAGAAGGAAGAAACCAAGGATAAGTTAAACAAAATCGTCAAGGATATCCGAGTGCAGTTCAAGTTTGCCGAGTCAGTCTACAACAAGAAGTATCCCAACGAAAAGGTACAGCTCGCCGATTATTGGATAGAGTGGATCACGGATTACTATGCGCTTGTGTCGAAGAAGTTCAGGGAAAACATGTTGGCAATGGCGACGGAAGTGCGAGAAGAGGTAAAGGGCATCAAGGATGATTGGGCTAAGAATATGCGCGGGTATATGCAGGCCTTTGAGAAACAAGCAAAGAATGAGGCGTTGACACTTATAGACACTAGCGGCTTTTCGAAGGACGATGACACAGAGATGGGAGGGACCTAATTTGTCTACAGATACTGGAATATACATAGCTGCTAGAATCTTTGTATTTTCCCTAGAATCCACCATTCCATCTTTGTCCTGTGTAGTGAAAAAGCAATGGACGAACTTCGGAAAAACATCCTGTGGCTTCGAGAGATACAATCCCCAGGCCACACATAAGTATCCAGATCTTTCTCGGGCCCCATGAAGCCAAGAGCTGACTTGGTATTTCCACTCCTGCTGAGAAATATCCATAGATCTAAAAGATAGCTTGTCGGTATCCTCATCCAACCCCACCCCAAAAATCCCTCATACCATCCCAAAGACACCGCCTTGACGATGGATTCCCCGCTTGCCACATCATTCAGGACAGACTCATCAGCGACCAGAATAAAGTTCCAGAGGCGATCGGCCATGGCACGTTTGCCTTCAAGACCCTCGCGCTGGAACAGTTCTCTGACGCCTCTGACATCGAGTCCATCCAGCAGTGACGCATCCTCGCGTGTATCAAGGTGGAAAAGATCCTTGAGTAGCTGGACGTCTCTCTGATCGACATCATCTTGATCCTCAAAGCATCCAAATGCTAGCCTGGTTTGCTGCATCAGGGAATTCAAAAGGACATTCCAATACCTATCGGATTCAGGGCCATAGTACGTGCGGCAGATCGTGTATCCCCATTGACAATAGTATTGGAGGTTGTCAGGATGGTGCCTGCTTTTGTGTTGTCGCTTGACACCTCGTGGGGGCGACCAAACATGGTCAATCAGTTCTTCGATTGGGGGATACATATTGCGGTCGAAAAAAGTGAATATGGCAATTGTGTTGGTCAAGATGAGTATGGGACTTGCGTGTCTTGTTGGCCCTTGTAAGAGTTTTGGAAGAACAAGATGGCTGATGAATTACCCGTGCGGGCCAGCTCATAATATCTGAACAATTACGGATCAGTGTTGATCCGCTTTTAACCCACTTCGGCAACTCCATTGACATTGGCGTTCTGGTTTCGGAGGTTTGTGAAGTTCTGTAAACGTTTGCTCTTGAACTTTTGTTGTGATTACCTTGGGCACACTACCTTATATGGTTTATTATTCATAGCCCCAACTAGACGTGACATGCCGCAGACGAGCATGACATGAATGCCAGATTATGAACAGATATCCAATGAGTACCACGCCGAAGATGCCAAGAGCAGTAATATAGGAAATAGACAGAACTGAACGGATGACAAAGACATTTAACAACATGGTTTCAAGGTGGTGTAATAGAATCTATATGTAAAGTGGTTTAGCTGGTGTTGCTTTCTATCTTTGCTTGAAAATGTTCTCTTTGCTATTATATATCGACAATCTAGACAAAGCTATCAAGGAATCTTACACGTTTTAACTGAAGATGGAGTTGTCCACCCCATTATCTCTGCTTTTATTTTATCTTGCTCTACCTGAGATGCAAACTACTGTTCTAGATTGAATCGCCCATTGACGGTGCTCCTCGACCCATTCCTCGACCTGTACAAGTCGGATACTAGGGGAACGATGGGGCTTCCACAGAGACTTGATTATTTCAGAAACTGTAGCCATGGCACTTAAGCATATAAAAGATTAGGGTTTAATATAATTTAAAGTAAGATTTGGAGTTCTTACAAAAGAATAGAGACGTGGCCTTTTATGATCATAGGCAACTCCTACCTACATCACGTGCATGGATATCCCCACTGTCAATCGCCAAGAAAAAGGACAAGAGAGTGATTATAATCTTGTAAATATATATAAGTATTAGTATCTCAGTACGAGTACCAGACCAAGCCAGTCCCGATGCTAACAAGCCTAAATAATATTCCTATCTACAATCCATATTTGTTTTTTATAAAAGAAGTAGTATGTGAAAAGGCATAGCTTTCGGACTATTAGATCTAGTGGATGAAGGGGCACTACGCAGATGTCCATAATCTGAACTTTGTTTCTCAATCCGAAAGGTAGAGAGAATTCATCTTGTCCTGCACTAACCCTGAAGCCTTACTATGTAGGATGTGCCTCGAGTGGCTACTCTGTATCAATCGGGCATTTACCTCCAGGAGGCCTCAGAACTGATGTCAGACGGAAACAGGGATAGCAACGGCCAATTTGTAATTAAGCTGATGTGCCGCCCAGTTTGTGGCAGGTTCATCCGCTCTATGCGTCTAAAGGTTGCTTTCGCCTCCGGTTTCGAAGAAAGAGCCTGTTTATGTCGTATGTCGATCTTGTGAACAAATTCTGGAATAGTTGGAACCAGATTTGCTTCAGCGACCCGAAGACGGGAAAGACTTGTCAAAGTAAGAGGGTCTCTTGGCATGATTCTTCAGACTCCTTCTTATTAATCCTCCCAGGTGTCATTGCCGCGTTTCCTAAATTCGACAATCTCTGAACTACCAAAATCAGACTTGTGTTCCTATTGCAATGTTGAGCAGTATGCCCTGATGCAAGCCGACTTATACACTGGATTGTATGATGAGGATGCGAAGGCCTCCTATGAGTTCATTGCAAAGGCTTGCGACCTCAACGTGGACAACTTCAACGCCACTGACAGCGCATTCAACGTTAAAACTCTGGCTGCACTACTATGTTTGTGTTGGGGTTTCTTTATGAGGGACAGTTGCAGTGTTTCAGGGCTGAGATTTGAGCGGATGGCTCTTTTTTGTTTTAGTGGAGAGGAGGGACGGACTCTGAAGTATGTACTTAGATAATGTCGCTTTACGCAGTAATTTCTGTTCAAGCTGTGACTCCTGACTAGGGCATAATATTTTCCTATTGGCCATGATTTTGCTTCTGCGGGTCCACTTCTTAGACCTAGAATGCCAACCCAGTTTTATGTATAAGTACCATCAATGAGCCCGCACATGTTGTGACCTCATCTAAACCCTTTCTCGATTTTTGAAAATCTACCTACAGTCATGCCTCTGCCGCCACTCCCCGACTACGAATCGTCCTATGAGGAATTCACTGTGGATCCAAACCATGAGTCCGAAACTCATGGATATGGACGCCCTTACGCGACGCCTATGTCGATGATTAATCAGGATGGTTCCATTCTATATGAAACTGAAGACTTTGGACTACTATATCAGATCGTTTGCTCGAACGATGCAAAGACCCTTGAGCAGTATCTCGCCGCTGCACCTTGGGTCATCCCAGAGGCATCTGCTGTTTTGATAGGGAAGCATGGCATTGATGACAATGAGGATTGCTTTCTGAATGCAGCCCAGAGTGGATGTCTCGATGTGCTCAAAATGCTTCTAACCCACTTTATGCAAGACGAGGATCTCGAGGCGCAGGCCAGATTCAAGCAGCGCCGCTACAAGCTGCTAAACCGCGCCGCCAAATGGGGTCATATCGAGGTGGTGAAGTACTTACTCGACAATCAACCACTGTACGCCGACATCCATGCACGGGGCTCCTATGGCCACACTGCATTACTATGTGCTGCAGATCTCTACTGTACTCAGTTTCTCGTTCCTCCCGGTGGAGATAGAGCTAATGCCACCAAAAACGAAGCAGTGATGAATTTGCTGCTGGATCGGGGTGCATGCGCTTCTGATTTTCTTCCCTTCTGGAATGACAAGGGGAAGCCAAGCGCTACAGTCTTGAGTTTGGCTGTGCAGTGGGCAAGCCCAGAGTTAATTAAGAGGCTTATCGCTGGTGGCGCCGATCCCAATACCATGGTAATGCAAGGTCCTGGGGAGCTGAACTTTTGGAATCAGCATGATTCGTTTAACGAAGTACCTGCGCTGTTTAATGCCTGTACTCACGCCAACTTCAAAGTCGTTGAAACTCTGATTGATTGCAGAGGCACAGCCGTTGCTGTTGCCGACATATTGTCCTCTCGCGACGGTCGAGGAAGTATTCCTCTCCACTGGGCCACTCAAAGTGAACTGCCAGTGGAGATCGATGGCTTCCCTGATCTCAAGGAAATAGCCCAAAGCATCACAAGCACCATCGAACTACTCCTCAGTCTCGATCCCACGGCAATCAACGTTCAGGACAATGACGGGAATACACCTTTGCACTACGCTACCCGGTCATTGAGCCGACATAACAAGCTGTACACAGCTGTCTTCGAGCTTTTATGCTACAGAAGGGGCGATGCTAGTGTACGCAATAACAATGGCGAAACCCCTATGCATACCTTGTTTCGTCTCCATGGAGACGACACTACAATCACCGACCAAGATCCCGTCGAGACAGCCGCTATATCAATCATGCTCGCCCACGGTGCAAGCCCCACGGATACTGATAATGCTGGAAACACGCCATTGCATCTTGCGGCCTTCAACCTCCATTGGACCGAAGCCTTATCGTATCTCCTTGAGCGTGGTGCTGATCCTGCTCAAGAGAATCTGGAAAAAGAGACTGCATCTCACAGAGCTGCTTGCGGTAGTTACAAAGGGCGTGATATTCTTACTAGATCCGAGGAGAGAATCAGAGCTCAGGAAGATATGCTGGCAGTCCTGGTGAAAGCTGGAAGAGAAGGGTTGATGGATCGGGGAGATGCGGAGGGGAAAACTCCGCGACAGATTTGCAAGACCACGAGAGATGGGTGGGTAACGAAGGATATACGTTGAGTCAAGAGCACGTGTCAAGGTTTGCTGCCACGATTACGAGACAGACTTGAATGGGGGTCGTATTTAGTTGCAAAGGTTTTGGCTGTGTTGACATGATGAGATCAGGCATTGTGTAGATTCGTTATGTATTCTCGTGTCAAAACTGAGTGATTGTTCTTTTGCCTTGACGAAAGTCTTTCTGGTTGGTTCTTCGACCTTCCTTACCACATCTCATCCTCTTGGTTCCTGTAGTAACCCCACTTCCGAATTTCCGAACAGCTTCCAGTACAGAGAAGTGCCAAATCCCCAGGCCAGACACTGTCCGCAAGATCTTCTTCAGATCCTCGGAAGCTAATACAGAACTCAGTCCGGTATTTATTCCACATCAGAAATGTCCACAACTCCAACAGATAGCCCGTCGGGATCCTCGCCCATCCCCATCCCGAGTGACCATCAAACCACGACAATGAGATAGCCTTAACAACGAATTCACCTTTTTCTGTATCTTTCAAAACAGCTTCATCAGCGAGCAAAACATAATTGAACAGATAATCTGCCATAGCTCGACTCTCGTGGGGCCTTGTGCTCACGCGGTACTTGGAGTTGACTTTCTCTACAACTTCAGTCTCTTTGAGCTTTTCGGCGTTGCAGAATTCCCTAAGACCTCGAACATCGAGACCATCCAGCCGAGAGGGATTCTCCCGGACATCTAGATAAAATAATTCCTGAACTCGTCGCCTATCATCTTGGTCTGTTTCCTCGTCGTCCTCAAAGACTCCAAATGCCAGCTTAGTCTGATGCCTTAAAGAGTATAGAAGCGCTTGCCAATGCTTTTCAGACTCTTCACCGTAGTAGGTACGGTAAATGGTGAAACCCCATTTGCGGTAGTGGTGGGAATTGTCCGGGTTCTTCCTCCCTTCCGGTCCCAGCTTGGTCCCGCGCGGGATCTGCCAAATCTCACGCATCATGTCTTTGATAATGTCGGACATCTTGACAGAGCTTGATTATGAGGATACGCCAGGTGAAGGCTGTATTTTTTTTTTTTTTTTTTTTTTTTTTTGAAATGTTGTAGAATGATGAGCTGTGACGACCAGCTAATTAAGCCGACGTGATCTCGAGAATGGGTTCTTAAGAGACCTTGAATTGGCTAGGATGGTATGGCTGAAGCGAGAACAAAATCATGTTGGTTGACATGCTTTAGATAAGGGAAATCACGTTGAGATAGCATGGTCCTGTCCATCCGGAGTATAAATTCCCCGACATAGGCGAATGCGGAGTGGAACAAAACAGTAAGATATAGCGAAATCATCATTAGTCATAGACAAGCTACAATTCTGTCAAATTGTGCCTTTTACTGAAGTTGTAATGCATTTAAGGTTATATATATAAAACTAGACATAACTTAGGCAACTGCCATATTGCCACACAATTACTTAGCAGGTGGACTGTGCTTGCTTGTTATGTATTAGTTCCACTTTAAATACTTGCCGATGACTCATTCCCAATATCAAAAGAATTCTAAGTATTTAAAAGCTCAGTGTTTGTACATGAAAAGGTTCAACTTCTCTTCGATCACTTGAATACTTAACAATAATGCCGTCCGCTCTGCCCGAAGTTGAATCACCTTACCGCAATTTCGTTCGGGGTCCAAATGAGTGTCATAATGGCAAAGAGCCTCCTTACACACCAATCACTATGGTTGATCGTAATGGATTTATTCTGTGCGAAACAGATCAATTCGACCTCCTTCGTGCAATCATCTATCGGGATGATGTGACGACTCTTGAGCAGTATCTCGATATTGCGCCATGGGTTATCGAGGAAATAGAGGAGCTTCCTCTCTATTACTCCTTCTTCTACATAGCTGTATCATACGGAAGTCTTGGTGCACTCAAGACCCTCCTTTCCTACTACGTAAGAGTTATTGAACCAAACCAAACAATCACCTTTCGAAAACGCGGCTTCACCCTGCTCAACGAAGCTGCTAGGCGGGCCTATCTGGAGATAGTAGAATTTTTACTCGATAACCAGCCACTATACGCTGATATCCATGAGCGAGATTATACCGGCTGCACTGCTATTGCTGCTGCCTCAGATTTATATTCAACGAGATACACCGAGACGTTCAACTGGCAGCCTTCTGTTGACAAGAGCGAAGCTGTGATGAATCTGTTACTGGATTGGGGTGCCTTTCCTTCGGACGTGGTTGCACGGGTTCATGAAGACTCATCAGGGAAACCTGAAACCGTTCTGTCAATGACATCCGAGTGGGTAGGCGCTAAGATGATCGAGAGGCTCGTTAGCGGTGGCGCAGATGTCCATGCCGAGTTCACAAAACACTCGCTTCAACTACGACTGTACGACGAGCAAGACTATATCGTCGACAACGTCACTGCAATTCACATGGCTTCTTTTCGCGGTAACTTCGTCGCTCTTGAGACTCTACTCGGTCATCATGGGGACACAGTCAGTGCCCTGGAAATGGTGTCCTCTTGTGACAGTCGAGGGAGTACCCCTCTTCACTGGGCTGCACGGAATAACCTGTATAACCCCAACTTACACGAAAGTGCACAGAATATCAAAACAACTATCCATCTTATTTTGGACATAGACCCTGCGATAGTCAATGTCCAAGATCTTGAGGGGAACACGGCCTTGCATTACGCCGCTCGATATTTCGGTGAAAATGGGGAAGTCTTCAGGCCAATTTTTCAAAGCCTTTGCGACAAGGGCGCAGATTCAAGTATACACAACAACCGCGGAGAAACACCGCTACACTATATGTTCTCCAGTGATGGTACAGATGAGACAATTGACAAACAAACCTTATCTCTCCTCCTTGCTCATGGCGCAAAGGTTAACGATATTGATCATGCTGGAAATACCCCTCTACATATTACAGCTCGAAGACTGGATTATCATAACATAATATCTTTTCTCATTAAAGAGGGCGCTGATGCTACCATTGGTAATTCGACAAATGAGACACCTGTCCATGTAGCCGCTTCCGGCGATGTATCCACCCCGGGTCTGGCGGAGAAAGTTGAGATACAAAATGCAGTCCTCACAACTCTAACAAACGCTGGAGGGATTGAACTGATGGACCTGCCCAACGCAGAGGGAAAGACACCAAAGCAAATTTGCAAAGCGCAGAGGGACAAGTGGAGGGAGGATGAGAAAAGGGAGCGCATGATAAATGGGCGCCGTGAACGAATTTTGGCAAGCACCGCGTCTTGCTCATCTATTTCCCCTGTCAATGTCGAACGCTGTCATAATTAGGACCTGGAAGATTGCGCTTTATCTTGGTAACTTAGTCGTTGGTGGAATGTTTCGCAGAAGTGGAAGTAGTGCTGTTAGTGTCTAAACTTAACTCTAGCTTCTCACTACAGGGTATGGAACCTACCTACCCCTCATCTTATCCCAATCACTCCCTTGCCTAGCAAGTGTAACATTGCAACAGAATGCGACTTCACTTCCTGGTAATTCTTGCTAGGGCTATAACTTTTGCGAGTGGTGAACTTCGGCCAGATTGCCACGCCACAACGACCTGTTATCCCTGTCATTGGCCCGCAAGTCCCAGACCAAGGTCCTGACAATGATCCAAAGGTTGAGGCAAGCCTGCTTTTCAGAAGCCTAAACTATGAACTAGAACCGGATTGCCTCCGTAACAAATCAACTTGGTGGTTTCGAACCTATGAAGGGCACTGTAATTGGCTGAAGCGAGGTGAATCGGGTGAAGGCTCTATTGGATCGGCCAGACCACGCGACTACCAACAATACACATACGCCGATGATATATCCAAGCCACGAGAAGGCCCAAACCCACGAGTCATTAGTAATGCGTTTTTCAAAAGGAAGAAGACGATTTACTATGGCCATACGGCTCTCCTTCTAGGGCTTATTGAAGTGAGAGTGTATCATCCGTGGATTCTCGATTCTTAGTGCTGACTTATTCAGTTCATCATGCATGACGTTACATATAGCCGAGACTCTATCGATGACTTTATTGAAGTCCCTATGCCAGAGGATGAGGAGGTATTTTCTATCAACACCACACTCAGAGTGCCAAGAACAGCCGCAATGCCCGGAACGAGCACGTCCAGAAGTAACCCTCGTGAAAACATCAATATGGCAACAACATGGCTCGACATATCGTCTTTATATGGCAGCACTACTGATATAGCACACCGACTTCGATCAAAAGTTGATGGCAAACTTCTCACGCAAGAGGTCCAGTCCCCTGGCACCAGGGCAAAAGCCTCTTACCTTCCCTTCAACACCATGGGTGTACCGACCAATACGCGGCCTGGTGTAGAGCCAGAGGGACTGTTTGCCGGAGGCGATCCTCGTACCAATGAAGACTGGCTACTTCTTGGTATCCACACATTACTAATTCGTGAGCATAACAGGCTCTGTGACATTCTCAAGAAGCAGAAGCCGGGCTGGGACGATGAGCAGCTTTATCAGACCGTGCGACTCGTCATGTCTGCGAAACATGGATTGATCGCCAACGCATACCAAAATGGCCTATTGGACGGAGAAGATACCATGGCCAAGAGATGACGGATTTCCTCTTTACCGTCAGATGTTTGGTGAGAACGCATTGGAGATAAACCCTGGCAACACGTATCCTTGGCCGCTTGTCACCAAAAATGGAAAGCCAATAACGGTCTCTGCAGTGATGGCTGTCGTCTATCGCTTTCACGAGTTTATCATTCCGAGCTTCCCAATCAAGGATCAGAACAATGAGACATTATGGGAGCAAAACTTGTTTGAGACGAGCTTTAATAGTACTGGGTTTCTCAATGTCGGGCTGGAAAGAATTCTTGCTGGGGCTCTTTCGTCGCACATTCCCGACTTCAAGTCTGGGGTAGACGAGAGTTTCAGAAGCGCTGGAATCTACCGTGGGCGTCCCTTTGACATTGTTGTCTCAAGTATTGTGCATGAACGAGAGCAAGGGTTGCCGACATTCAACCAATATTTTCACTAGGACAACGCTTAGGATCCAGAAGTTGTTGTCCCAATTTGAGATACTTGAGATAAGTTTTCGACTGACCCTGGAGTCATTGAAAATCTGAAGAAGCTCTACAAGCACCCTGACGATGTCGACCTCGTCGTGGGCTGTCAACCTCATCATCAGCCTGTTTGTTTATTCGGCATGGGAAACTCTGACCGTTTCTCTATCGGCTTTGCGATGATGCGTTGTCTTCTTGTGGACCGCCCGTGGGATTGCCATCCAAGTAACGCTCTGGAAGACCTGATATGGGAGCGAAAGGACGTACCCGGCTTTTACAACTTTAGGTTTTATAGCGAATTTTGGGTCAAGGAGCTGGATTTGCCAGCCCATGGTACGAATCTCCTGTGGCGTTTGATCACAGAAAACTCGGAGATCAATTGCGTTCAGAGATCGCCTTTGTTTCCACCTGACAAGGATACCAACCCGATTCACTGTTCAAAAGAAACAGGTAAAGTTTCATTATTGGGCTGTTCTGTTGAAATTTTTCCAAGTCGCCCTTTCGTTATTAAAACAAGGTCCTTGTAGCTTCATCGCTACAGTCATCATCACAGCGGGCAGCGGCATCCTAGCAATCATGCACTACCTGCGATGGAAGACTTCGGGGAGACGCAAAACCTGAACTAAAGCACTCTATTGTCTTGGGATAATCTTCTTATGCATATAAGTGCATGTAAGTAAAGCTGTCATAAGTCACGGAGGGAAGAGAGAAACACTAACGCCATTACTACTATATTGGTCGAACTTTGACTTCATGAAATACTTTAAATATGACCAAAGGAAATCTCACAAGTCATCCTAATCGAGGAATGTCCTAACGTGTTGTTTGTAACAGCGGTATGATATCAGATTGTCATACGAAACTTAAGTAAATTTCTTTGAAGGATTTCCTTCTTCTTGTTCTCCAATTCCTCCATGTCCCAGTTCACAGTGATGAACCTGCCGGAGAGCCAGTCCCGCCTCTCACGAGATAACCAGACCATAGTATCGGCGGCCAGCTCCAGTGTATCATTCAGATGAGAATGCATCGCCGGGGGCATGTTCAAAGCGAGCTCGGTCTTGATCCCACCTGGATGAATCGATATGGCCACTAATCCCTGCTCGTAATATTTCTTATCGATGAACTCAGTAAAACGGCAGAGAGCGAACTTGCTCGTCTGGTACGCTGATGCTCCGGGAACGATGATCTGAGCGCCGACACTACTGATATTGATGATAGCTTTGGCCGATGACTTGAGAAACAGCGCGATGAAATAGCGGGCGGACAGGTAAGTTCCTTCCATAGTGACCTCCCAAGTCCACCACTCCGACGGGTCAGACTCGGTGACGGGCTTCCACTCCTAAGGCATCCTGCATTGTTGATCAAGATGTCCAGGCTGCCGCCGGGTACTTCCTTGGCGGTCTCGGTGGCGGCTTTCACCGACTCCTCTGTCGTGATATCCGGTTTGATAGAATGAACGAGAGGCTGGGGCCGATTTGCCTTCTTGGCAGCATCTATGACAGTCGCTTCAATCTTGGTCATGTCAGAACGAGCAGCCAGGATGATTTTCGAGCAACATGCCATAGCGAAGCGAATTGCGGTAGCCTTCCAGATTTCCTTGGAGGCGCCGGAGATGAAGACTGATTTGCCGGTCAAGTCGGCTTTGGATGGATTAATGAAAGGATAAGTGTCGTTATGCGTAGAGACGTAGCTGGCCAGAGTAGGCGAGTTAGTCTCACGCAAAGAAGAATCGTGAGCTGACATGATGAGTCTGAAAATGCACTGTCAAAGTGGTACCATTGAGATTCGCGGAGGTACTAACAGGCGTTGGTTTACCGTAACTGACGGTTTAATTAAGAATTTAGTCTAGCACTGATCCTGTTCAAAAAGTAGAATTTGCATTTCAAATCAAAAAATAATAGTCTTATTATCATTAAACTGGTTCCAAATCTCTTGCAATGTGTGGAAATGTATATCTCTAAAGTACTCCTGCTTCTGCTTTTCTACCTCTCGTTCTGGACGTCTTGCAGCACCAGACGCGGAGTACATCTGCAATTGTGCAAAAGTGATATCGTCCGCTGAATTACCAGGCATAAGCGTGTCAATTACCTCGTTCAGGGTGCTGACTTGAACTGTAAACTTGGGACGCTCTCGCCTGATCGTATCCACGATTTCCCGCCATGTAAGTCTTTGACCCGACATGAAGGTGTATAGTGCCCAAATTGGCCCCTTCACCAATGCTACAAGCCCTTTTACCACATCTCGCGCGAGAGTGATATCGATAGAGTCTTGCAAGCTTCCGGGGACAGAGAATTTCTCATTATCAAAGTCAATTAATGGCCCCTCTCTCATATGTCGATTGTATCGGTTCGACACCGGGACAAAATAATCTGCGAAAAGTCCGATACAGACAATAGTCCACTCGACTTGGTCTTGCTGCTTCAAGGCCTGTCGGACACGTTCATTGATGTTTCGGAAGTAAGCTGGCTGATCGGGATAGTCGCGAGTGTTGCCTGCAAACTCGGATGGAATGAAACGTTTGCAAGACGCGCTTCGCCGGCAAGCAGCCAAGAGTTGGAGGTGTATATCGACGTAAGTCTGGGAAATGTCCACTATAGTGGAGATTAGGGCCTTGCAGCCTCTCAATGCCTCGTCAAGTGAGGTGCTTGAGTAATCGGTCATGAATTGTTGTACCCCTTCTTTTGCTAGGTGAGGCTTGTATGTGCGAGTAAGGATGACAAGGTCAAGCCCTGCCCTTAGAAATTTCTATGTGGGGCTGGTTCTGAGTCGCAACCATGTTGTGTCTCCGGAAAACAAGACACTAGCCATTCCCACGTCAAGGCGGACTCACTCTTCGGCTAACTTCACTCAAGATCTTCATGACCTTACTAAAGTCAATCGTCGTATGCGTATGGGTGTTGCATTGAATGCCTTGATACAAGTACGCGTCAATTTCAAGCACCGGTATTCGGGTAACCCAACCTTATGATAATAAGAAATACCTAGGCAGCAAGTAGTTCAAGGCCACAGACAACTAACTTTAGAACTGTACGTCTCACTCAGAGGTCTCTATTTAATTTACACAACCCGAGCTACGCGTCTGCGGCTATCGCCACAGTAATATTAGTTCGGTATTCGAAACCGGTCAACCTCAGGCTTCAATCTTACGATCCACCTTCTCGGCGCCTTTATTGACATCAACAAAGTACACGGAGCACAAATTCCGACGCTGATATTAAACCATGTGTTTCATATGGATCGGCATGGAAACCAGTATATCTGAGCATTCCAGTACTTCCCTGAGTACTGGAATCAAGGTCGGAATGAACCCGAGTACTAACCTGAATCTAGGCGCCTTATCTCATGTTCCCCACTATCCTTTTGGCGATATCTCGAATATGCCCAAATTACAATGGGCAGACCAAAAACAAGGTAAACAATTCATTATATGCCTAACCCGCCTTGTGCGTCCTGAAGAATTCAGATGCACTTCAACAGTACAGTATGTGCGAATAAATTCACAGTTTCTCATGGCATAAAAATAGCTTCAGGTAGAAGATGATACCAGCAACCCAGAAAGGAGTGTTAGACAAGCACTCTGCAGCATGCAATTCCAGGAACCGGGTACAAATATGAACTTGACAGTCAGAAGGCACATGGTTTCCTGTGACAAATGTAATCCATGCTAGCTTCGAGGGAAGTTTATATTAATGCATTGTTATTGGGACTAGTATTGAACTGGTATAGATCCGGGATAGATTGTTGGGGTCATTGCCCTAGCTCGCATCCCGTCTCAAAAAAGAAAGTCGTTCCCAAATCGATGCGGGGTAGATATACTAGAACACGCCTCAAGCTTTAGGATGGGCCTTGTTTTCGGGGCCTATGGATAGCCTCGAATTGGAGATATCTATAAATTCCAACGATAACTTCCTCTGTCTGATCAAATCGATCCTAACCCTTCTCAAACAAGATAACAGTGAAATCATTCACTTCTTTCATCAAACCGAAACGACCTACTTTTTCTACCCTTAGCCATTGATCAATCACGGCAATATGGCTCCCCCAGAGGCAGAAAAGCCAGTTGATCACACTCTCAACCGCCGCCCTTCCGTCAGCAAGGGTGAAAATACAGAGATCAGTAATGATGCTGCGAGACTAATGGGTAAGGTGGCCCCCAAATTATTAGCATTATCTGGATTTTTAACATTATCTCAGCAATGGGCTACCAGCCCCAGATGAGGAGAGACATCAGCACTCTTCAGCTGATTGGGGTGGCTTTCATGGTTACAGCATCCTGGCTTGGAGTATTGGGTGGTTTTACAACTGGAGTAGTGGTCGGAGGATCAGTTTGCCTCATCTATGGTCTGATCATTGTCGGTGTCTTTAGCACTTTTTTTGCTATCACCCTTGGAGAATTGGCGAGCGCTATGCCTACAGCTGGAGGCCAGTACTACTGGGTTTCCGTCCTTGCCCCCAAGAAGCTCTCTCGCCCCTCGGCCTTCTTTACCGGTCTCTGCAACCTGGCCGGCGGTGTCGTGGCCACTGCTGGCTCTAGTGTTTTGCTTGGCAACATGGTGTTGGCCGTGTTAAGCTCTATCAGCCGTCATTGTGACTCAGCCCTAGTCTCATTAGCTACCCCTATCTTTCGAGGCTTATCGTCAGTATGAGCGAGATCCATGCCTGGCAGAATTGGCTGATCGGCCTTGCGTTCAACTGGACCGCATGTTCAGTCAATATGAGCAAGAAGACCGTCGCCAGGACCCTGTCTGTAGGCATGTTCATCAGTATTGCCGTTGTTATCGGTCTCGTTATTTCCATCCCAGCCACCAGTCCCAAACATACCGACGCGAAGTTTATCTTCACAAGCAACGAGAATGTCAGTGGCTGGAGCTCGGATGTCATGGCCTTCCTTGTTGACCTGATCAACGCCAGCTATAGTTTTGGTATCATTGATACCGCAGTGCACTTGGCCGAAGACATTACCAACCCTGAGAATAAGGCTAATCTCTTAAGGTAAAAAAGGTAGTTTTTCTTATTATATTTATAGGCCCAAATTTAACTTAATATAAAAAATAACTTAAATATATAACTATTAAGGCTAAATAAGTATTTTATATCCCCCCTTTTATATAAAAGTAGTAAGCTAATTATAATTTAAATATTTATTAACTTGATAATTTAATTAATTAGTTTTATAAGATATTTAAAGAATTAATTATATAAGTTTTATAATAAGTATTATTTTTTTATTTCTTTATGGCCTTAAGGCTATTATGTAAGTAAATTAAAAGATATAATAAATAGTAAATATTAATTAATTTTATTAGTGCTAAATATTCTTATAAACTTTTTATATTATAACTTTTATTACCATGGTTACTATTATGCTGTAATGATCTAATATGGTCTAAAATTAAGACTAGCAATAAGGGGCAAATCTCCCCGGATCATCCAGAGAACGCTCAACACGTTGCATGCATTTTTCTTTTTGAAGACAAGACGCACCCTGGGCAGATCTTCGCCTGTTCACGCCAAAGAATAGTTGAAAGCCCGGCATCTAGACGGAGACATATACACATCTCGGACAATTCCCCACCTCCACCTCGATGTTGTGTAACCTCACGTCGGCTAAACGGGAAAATACCCACCACTGCCCAGCACCAATGTGCATAAACAAATAAAAATATTCAGCTGGTCAATACGGCGATTTTTATTTAAAGCCTGCCCAAGTAATACGTGGGTTAACTTACTCTGAGTTTGTTAATTCTTCACATTACATACTATTACCAAAATGGCTACTGTTAATCCTCTTGTTTTGCTTCCTGGCGTCGCACCATCTGTTTTTCATCAATTCATATCAGAAGTCACTGAAGTTACCACCGCTTACAATATTGTCATCATTTCCAAGCCTAGCTGGACAAGCAGGACTACCGCGACCCTAGCAAGATGCACCGCATGTTTGACATAACCTCGAAGCAGCATTTTGTCTCCACAGCTGTCATCACTCCCCGTAACGTGGCCGAGGCTCAAGCCATCGTCAAGCTTTATAACAAGTTTGAGATTCCCCTTTGGCCATTCTCTACTGGCCGAAATGTTGGGTATGGTGGTGCTGCTCCCCGTATACCAGGCTCGATTAGTCTTAATCTTGGCAAACATATAAACAAGATCTTGAAGGTTAATGTTGATGGTGCATATGCTCTGGTTGAACCTGGAGTTACATATGCAGATCTTTATCAGTCCTTGGTGGATAACAACCTTGGTAATAAAGTGTGAATTGATGTTCCTAATCTTAGCCGCGGATCCGTGCTTAGAAACACTACAGAGAGGGGAGTTGGCTATACTCCGTATAATAAGTCATCTTCATCGTTATACCGACCAAGTAGTGACGGCCTGTAGGTAATCACTTTATGATGCACTACGGCATGGAAGGTAAGAGCTCTGATACAGCTACCTCATTGCAAGGGATGCTTATGACTAACTGTCTAAAGTTATATTTCCCACGGCACACTAGTCTGTACGGGAATGGGTGCTTTGCCAAACCCATATGCGGATCTAAACGCCCCTCTACACGAGCAAGAGCCCAACTCGGCGTGGCAACTGTTTAATTACGGCTTCGGTCCCTATAACGACGGCATCTTTATGCAATCGTCTCTTAGTATTGTTATCAAAATGGGTATCTGGCTTATGGTGAACCCTGGCGGGTATTAGTTATACTTAATTACTATTCCTAAAGATAAGGATCCTTATTAGGCCATTGAGATCATTCGACCGCTTCAGACTTCAATGGTGCTCCAAAATATTCCCACTGTCAGACATTTACTTTTAGATGCAGCTGTTATAGTATAAGCCCAGCTTAACCACTAGAACACAGCTAACAATAGCTACAGGGATCTTAAGACAAGTACACGACTTCGAAAAAGCCACTTAATGATAAGAAACTCAATAACATCTCAGAAAAGTTTAACCTAGGCCGCTGGAATTTCTATGGGGCGCTTTATGGCCCTGAACCTATTCGGAAGGTTATATGGGAAGTTATCAAGGGTGCTTTCTCAGCCATCCCCAGGGCCAAGTTTTACATCCCGGAGGATATGCCTAATAATGTTATTTTGCAGACCAGAGATCTTACCCTCCAGGGAATTCCCACCATAACTAAGCTTAAATAGATATAAGTTCTGCATCTTACTCGATATCATTTTTGACATATTAACCGCATTTCAATAGCAACTAGCTGCCCAATAGAACTCACCTATTCTTCTCCCCTATCGCCAAAGTCATAGGCGACGACGCAGTCACTTAGTATACCTTGACCTGCAAGGGTTGCAAAGAAGCAGGTTTCGACTTTATCAGAATATTTATCATAGGAATAAGGGAGATGCATCACATAGTATATCTTATTTTTAACCATCTCGATCTAGAGCCATGCCATCGAGCACATGCCCTCATTAGTCAGTTAATCGACGATACGGTAAAGAAGGGCTGGGGCAAGTATCGCACTTATTTGGTATTAATAGATCAGATTGCGCAGACTTATAACTTTAATAATAATACGCAGATGCATCTTAATATAATAATTAAGAATATATTAGACCCTAATGGAATTTTAGCGCCTAATACGAATAGGTTATGGCTAAGCGGCTATAATGCAAAGGACTTTACTATAAGTCCACAGCGCTCTATAAAGCTATAGCAGGGTAATAGTTTAGATTCTTAAGCGAAGAAGTGAGGTTAAATATAACAGTCTTGGTCTTAGTAAATGCTTTTAAAGTATACTTTACCCCTTTTCTGCTGGTGCCACATTTAGTGGAGAGCAGGTTAAATCTTGGCTCGGGTTGTCTCCTTGGCCAGTTGTGCATGGAACTGCTTAGTTAGTTACCTAATCGCCAAGTCCAACAGAACATCCTCGCTTCCACCAGGAATCCTGGCCCAAGGCACTTCTCGATAAATCTCTATATCGTCGTGTCAGCTCTCTGTCGGTATAAAAGCATGTGCTGAATAGCTTACTCTCCGCAATCTCGCCCTTGCCCGTACGCGTAGAACCGTTGCCGCCGAACAATAGAACAGCGCATCTCGCACACTCGTCAAGAACAATGCCAGCGTTGGCTTTGCACAGAGCGGTCAGACTACCGAGTTCTTGGTCTGCTGTTTCCTTAGGCATCTTGGAGAGCTGGTATGCGAATGATTCTACCCAGGACCATTGCGCTTCCAGGATTGCACCACATTTAGCCAGTCGGTGACGTACCACGGGTTGTTCCATGAGAGTCTTGACAAAGTCAGCTGTGAATCACATCCACTCCATCTTCTAAACCCACCTTGTTGAATGCCTTGCGCTGAAGACAATAAGCGAAGGCGCTGCTCAGGGCAACTCAAGCCTGACAGGTAACACCAACAGAGATGAACATACGCTCGTGGTTAAAGTTGTACATGATGTACTTCATGCCCTCGTTCTCACGCCCGATCAGGTTTTCCGGTCGGACTCTCACATCATCAAGTTCGATAAAGGAAGTTCCAGCCACAATCTGCCCCGCAATTTTAAGTCGTCTCCTTGTCACGCCAGGATGGTCCTTGAGCGGGACTAAGATTAAAGAAATGCCTTTTCCTCCAGAGTTTTCCCCACCAGTTCGGACTGCCATGCTAGCATAGTCTGCCATCATTCCATTAGTAATCCACTTTTTGGTCCCGTTAATGATTTATTCGTTGCCACTCAGAGTAGCCGTCGTGGTGATGTTGGCGACGTCAGAGCTAGCACTAGAGATGAGATCAGTAAAGCTCTCATTCAGTGATATCTTGAACCCACTCTGGCTCCGTAATAGCAATACAGATTCTCTTTCGCTCGACTAAGAGATCTAGGAGAAATCTTTCTTGTAGCTGAGGCTCTGCATAATGCAACAGAGGGGGGATACCAAAAGCAACGCCAGTGGTGATAGAGCCAGGTAGTACAGCAAGGCCGGAGCGGCTCATCTAGTGTTCAATACAGTCAGCATCGCGATTGATAATGCACCCGTGTGGTGCCATATCTCATCTGCATATATCATCGTATGCAAAGTGTCCCATTCCTCCACAGGTACCTGGCCGGGCATGTGAGTTATGCCTAGCTTTCGAAGCCATTCTACAGGTAAAGGCGCTGGCAAAGACGCCAGGATAAAGTTACCCTTTGCAATGACCTCGAATAGGTTGGATGGCACCTCCTCTGCTGATTCCCAGTTCAGGGCAGTTTGGAGTTGGTTTTGGAGATAGCAAGAGTTTTACAACAGTTAGAAGGTATGTTTAATGAATTATAAGCTTGCATATATAAACAGTATTCCAAGGTTTCCAACCTCAGCGGCGGGCTTTTCTTATTGAGGAAACATGCCTCGGCATAACTATCTGGACTACCCTAAGCAAGCCGAGGCTGATTTTCGAATTTTCCTACCCACTCCAGTGTCTCATTCCGGGTCTGATTAACATGGACGTGCCGACCGTCAAAGCTTGGACCAGGACTGAGAGTCATTTCAATTAATTGCTGGCATTAAGAAGCCAGCCGCTTCCGCTCCTTTCATGTGCGAGAGTTAGATTCTTCAGCGGCGACACGTTTCTTCGACTCATCGACACCTTGACAGCTGCGAGTGGATGCCTCTTTGGCGTGTCTTGATGTTGATGTATATTCTTATGCCAGCTTGCGCATGCAACCACAGGACCGAAGGGTAGTCCATTGCCGGAGCGACCGTCGCCGTAAAGAGCTGCCTGGCCGTACGTGGGTGATATCCTTATAGTTTAAATGGCGTTTTAGCATTTGTCAGTGTCTCGAATCCAATAAATAGTGGATGTCCACTAATACCCGCTGGACGCTGACTCAATAATACGTTCTTAGTAAAAGGCATTCTGTGACCCAAATTAAAGGCCAGTGCATTATAAGCTGGCTCTAACACTGCTGAAGTTAGCGGGCTAGTTAACATTCTTAATGATAGTATAGGCACTAACTTGGATTCATAGTGTCAGGAATGGTGCCATTGCACAGCCACTTAGGAATGGGTTTCTCTTTTGAATCCAGTGCAGTGTGTAGCTCGAGGGCCGCCTTAACACGCGCACCAACGTCCGTGGATCTCCACACGTCCATACCTTGGATACGCAGCGTCTCGGCGATGTGAGAGATGGATGAGATGCCAAAGCTGGTGTGGGCAAAATCTCGGCAGGTCTCCTGCGTGATGCCGCTAATTGGGAAGGTTTTTTGATTGTGCCAGAATTTGATAATCTCCGCGGTGGTATTGATCCCACCACGGCCTTGCACGGGATACTTCCCATCAGAAGTCAGGTAGATGTACGCGGGAACCCGGCCGGAGAACAACTCCAAGGACTTTTCGTACAGAGCTGCATCTTCAAGGAAGACGGCAGCCCCTATGGTAGACTCAATCATCACTACGAGCGTCAGCAGATCCGCTAGTGACAGTAATACAGAAGAAGTGGACCTACCTAGTTCCCAGTTTCCATTCTTCTGCGGGGCGCCGTCCTCGATGATGGGGATGTAGGCGTGTCGTAGCATGTCAGAGAAAGTCTTGATACTCTTCTTGGACCAGTGTTCATAGCTCGAGCGCATGATTTCACCGGCACGTACCCAATTAGCGGCCGACCAGGCCGCCTGCAGTGGTGCGTTGCTGTTGTTGTGACCTTGGATCGTGCTAGACCAGGCATCCATATAATGGATGGATTTCTCAGCATAGTGCTTGTCCTTCGTGATCCACCATGCCAATGCGTTCATGTATGCCGCCATGGAGTCCTCGCGCTCCTGATAACACCCAATGTTGGGCGTCGATGTCGGTCCGCACTGGACCGTCTCATATGGCTCGGCCGTTCGCGTAGGCGAGATGTACGACATGTTAAGCATGGAATCCAATGCCTCCGTCCAAGGATTCTCCCTAGCCTCGATCCTCTTGGCAATGTGATCGAGCTGTGGCCCGGAAACGAAAACTCCTGGATGAACCCATGTCTTGGGCGCGTTGGTTGGAATGGGAAAATAAGGAGTCGCTTTACTATCACTTGCCGCATATACAGATTTAAGGGCAGAGGAAGCTTCCAAACCAAGCATCAGGAATTGGAGCTTCATCCTGTCAGTGAAATTAGTAATAATTTAGCTTGGTAGATATACAACACTACTGCTAATTATAATAAATATTATAGCTCTAGTAGCTGTTTTATACCGCATCGTGTTGAAAGTGCCTGAGGCACCTAACTACCTAACAGTTTCCACCAATAATATTTTAGTAAGATACAAACTTTCCACTAATTAGAGTCGCATACCTACTTCCTGCACACCCCACTTCCTACGCATTATCCTTACTAAAATTTACTGATAAGTATTTATTAACTAAATACAGCTTAAAGTCTTATATATACTAATTACTAATAAAATAAAATAATTATTTATACACTATTAAAAATAAATATAAATATAAATATAAATTTTATATTTTTCTAGTAATTCTTAGAAGTCTATTTAAGCTAATAGAAATTAATAAAAACTATGTATTTTGGTAGGAAAAGTGCGCAGGCAGTAGGGGTGCGCAGGAAGTAGGTACGAGACTCTAGCTAGTCCCCTCTGTTCTGCTCGCTCACTCCTCAGTTCCAGGTAAAAGGTTTAATGTTATAACTTCTTGTTGTATCCTATATGTTCCAGTGGCTGGCTGGAGGATTGATTTGTTCCTAAATCTTTCTTTTCTTTTTCTTCCCGGGTGTCAACCGGCCGGTTTCAAACGAATTGGCGCCTTGATCGTGGGTTTCCATCCAGCAGTAACAAACTCAGCATTGTATTTAGTTAGATGAACTATTTCGTAGCAAGACTTGAAATTCACTTGATGTACGAGCTAAATGAACGTTTCCACCACCAAACTGTCTGCCAGCCCCGGTTCCTGGCATTCATTAAAATTGTGATTGAGTCCTACCCTGCATTGATTTCACGGGGAACGGATGACTTGTAGCTCCACACTGACGCGGCGATGGGACCGTCATTTTGCTCGGACAGGTGCCGGTGATCTGTCCCTCTGGCCGTTTCGGGATGCCGAAGTGTATTCGGCATTCCTTGAACTTACCTCGGTAAGTACCATTCAGGTTGCCCGGTTTCTCTGTACACTCACGCAGTGCTTTCGGTTGCTTCCCACGGGCTATAAGTAGACTCTGAACTGCCTCAGCCTTTCTGGCCTTCATCGCAGTCTTTTGTTACAACTATCAGCCTTTCCAATCATGGTCAGTCCTCGTTTCCTAATCAAAACTGTCGAAGCATACGGCCAGATCTGAGACTGACGCAGCAATCATCATCCCAGAGCAACTCAGCACATTCTGTCGTTATTATTGGCGCAGGCCCCGTCGTACTTTTCACTGCGCTGCTCCTTGCGAAATCGGGCATCAAGGTCTCAGTCTACGAGACGAGAAGTGGGATAGATACGTCTCCCAGAGCTGTGGCGTGCGTCATCATCTCTCGGTTTCTCTTCACCTATAATTAACTGACGGTCTGCGCAGGTATTTCCCTGCAGTGCTGGAGGAGTTTTCCAAAGTTGGAGCGCTTGAAGCCGTTGTCACAGCTGGAGAGAAGAACAATGAGGGTTGCTACTGGAGGGATAAGGATGGAAACATCATTTATGGACTTGAGCCGCCCAGGGATGATTCCCACTTTGTTGTAATGCTATCTCAGCCCGAACTTTGCCAAGTAATTTTGGAAGCCATCGAGGTAACCGGGAATGCTCGGGTCCATTTTAGGCATACGTTCCAACGCCTGCAGCAAGGTAATAGGTTTGTTGATTATTGGATCAAAAACGAAAATGATGGCAGTGAGACTAAAAGTCGGTGTTTATACCTTGTGGGCGCAGATGGCGGCCGAAGCACCATTAGGCGCAGTCTAGGCGTCCAACTCGAAGGCCACACCTGGGAAGATATGCTGTTCGTCGCTGTCAACTTTCAGTACCACCTTGGAAACCATGGGTGGAAGGGTGCGAATTTCATCATCGACCCTGAGGAATGGTGTATCATTGTCAAGCGAGGCAAAGGGTCGAGCTGGCGGATGGCGACCGGGATCAGGAAGGATTCAGCCAGCAAGGTTAATACTCTGGATGAAGCCACCATCAAACGGATCAAGGACAGACTAGCTCATCTACTCCCTGGAGACACAAGCACAATCGAATATGAGGCGATGGCACCCTATATTGTCCATCAGCGATGCGCTACTGAATTCGTGCAGGGAAATGTCATCTTGGCTAGAGACGCCGCTCACGTACGTATAAATCGCATATTGAACACCTTGTCTTGCCCAACCTGCTAACAGCAGACATTGTTGAACAATCCTGTCGGTGGCCTTGGTTTGACCACCGGTCTTCTTGATGCTGCACACCTCGGCGTATCCCTACGCCGGATCCTAAACGAGGGTGCCAGCACGGAATTGCCCGATGTTTACAACAACGCCAGGCGGAGAGTCTTCCGTGAACGCACGGATCCAATTTCGACGGCGAACTTTTTTAGACTGATGTCTGACAAGCCGGAAGATAACAAGAAAAGGGCAGAGTTCTTCAAAAGGCTTCATGACCCGAATGACTTTAGCTTCAAGCTTCAAGGCGGTCTCCCGGACTTTGCCTTGACGACCACCTCCAACACCAAGTTTGACACATACCTTTAGGAAACTTGGTTTATTTCTGTCACAAGGATCGAGGACTAGACCATTGAAAAGCTCAAGCATGAGTACAAAACTGTCCATGCTGGAATGACGAAAAAAGGCAAAGAGCAAGGCTCTCCGTTGCGTCGTTACATACAGCTGTCGAATTCCGACTTGACGATGCCAGATGCACACCAACCTCACTGGGACTATGTAACGTGCCTTACTTTTCCCAACCTATTCGTAACCCATGCCGGATTCCAGGATCCTGGATATCGAGCCAGGGCTGGTGCACAAATCTTTTGCCGGCTAGACCAGCAAGGCTGTCTCGCTAAACAAGTGGCCAAGTACTCCAAGAGCATACATGATCAAGATTATCAGAACTATGTCATTCGTGCCTTGGCATTCCATGATAGACGAGCTGATATCGACGAGTATTCCCGGGAGTGGCTCGCCAAACGGGGTAAGAGCCAGTCCAAAATCGCCGCGGCTGGCGAGAATGTCTTGAAATATATTTCCTAATTTAACTTTTAACCTTTTTCACTTATAATATAATAGCTATATTACCTTAATAAATATTATATAAAATAGCTTATAATTGTATAATGATAATTATTAAATAATTAGCTATAATTTTAATTTAATTATTAAACTTATCTTAAAGATAATTAATAGAAAAAAAATTAAAGAAATTTTGATAATAATTTATAAGAATAAATAAAGTAAAATTAGTAAGAAAGCAGTAACTTAAACTAGGTTAAAGTTATTTCGTAGCTTAATACGGTGCTCCGGTTGCTTCACATTGTGGAGTCTTGAGGTCACCATCAGTGGCGTCTCTTATTATTAGTCCAAAAATGGTAAGCCGGGAACCTCGGCCTCATCGAATTGACAACCTTCCGCCAGACACTTGATGCGGGGTAGCTATTTCCTCTACAGCCCAAAGACCTTACATATAGAAGGAACAATCATAAGATTCCTTTGGCATTATCATTTTCGAAGTCACCTCACTCTTCTTCCACAAGTTCGGATCATATCGTCTCCCAGCTGTCATGAAGTCCGTCGTATTCAAAGGAGTCAAGCAAGTGGCTCTTGAAGATCGGCCGAAACCCACAATTCAAGACCCAACCGATATCGTTGTAAAGGTTAAGTACACAGCTTTGTGTGGAAGGTTTGAACAAAATTTCAAAACGATACAGTTTATCACGTACTTACTTCTCATAGCGAACTTCATGTCTTTCGCGGCCACCAACCTTCCGGAACCGGCTTCATCATGGGCCATGAATTCACGGGCGTCGTCGATGAAGTTGGCTCTGCTATCACCAAACTCCAACCCGGGGATGCGATCGTAAGCCCTTTCACCGTGAGCTGCGGAGAGTGCTTCTTTTGCAAACATGGGTTCTCGTCACGATGTGACAAAAGTCTTCTCTTTGGCACTGTTCCTCTTGATGGAGCGCAGGCTGAGTATGTGAGAATTCCGTATGCTGAAAGTACTGTCGTAAAGGCTCCTGAGGAGATTGACGACCTGAAACTATGCCTGATGGCAGATATCTTCCCAACCGGCTGTTATGCTGCATCTAATGGTCTGAAGGATTTGGGTAAAGAGCAAGTGGAGGATAGTATCGTTGTTCTGATCGGTTGCGGACCAGTGGGCATATGTGCGCTCATCGCCGCGTTGGAGTATAAGCCCAAGGCTATTCTCGCAGTTGACGGTATCGAGTCTAGACTATCACTTGCCAAGAGTCTTGGTGCCGAACCATGGAATTACCTCACCCAGAAAGATGATCTGGAAAAGCGAGTCAAGGAATTAAGTGACGGTCGTGGCGCTGATGTGATCATTGAGGTTGTTGGACATAGCTCAGCTCTAGATATGGGCTTCAAGCTTCTTCGACCCTGGGGCATCATCTCTAGTGTCGGTGTTCACAATGGGGAGATTCCGTGGACTGGCAATCAGGCTTACGGGAAGAACCTGACTATTAAGATGGGCAGATGTCCGGTCAGGAGTAAGTTCATGTCGCGGGCGCTGGGAGTCACTTTCTGACTGTTATCCTTAGGCATCTTTGAAAACTCTCTGAAGCTGCTGGCAAAGAAGCAGCATCTCCTAGAGTAAGTGGCTATGCAAGTCAATATGACTAAACTAACCTGTCCAGTTTCATGACCGCGACGGTAATGCCGTTGAGTAATGCTCTTGAAGGCTACGAGCTTTTCGACTCGATGAAAGTCCAAAAGGTCATATTTGACGCGGAGAAATAAGAGATGTATCAAGGACCAAGTGTATCAAAGTCTTGCTCAGCTTGCTAGCTTATGACAGGTAGTCAACCTTGAAATACTAGCCTCTGATTGCGTCTCGTGCACACGTAACTACAATACTTCAATCAGTGCCGGTTAACCGGTTCTGCCTATTGCGATCCTCGCCGATTAGCTGAAATTGAGGTTGAATGAATGTTTCACAAATTGCAAGTGGGGTTCCAACGACAAGGCTGTACCAACTGCGGTAACAATACATTAGCATATCGTGCGTGGAGCTTCGGATTGTGGAGGCTCTAAACTTGATTATCAATTGCCGTATGAGTATGGCGGAGTGGGAACATTGTCTGGGTCAAAGTGCATTGGCAATCCTCGTCTTGGAGGAAGTGGCACTAACCCTCAATGCCCTTGGACTGGTCACCATGCTCCCTCTCGTTGCGACCCTAATGACTGTGGAGGCTTTTAAGAACTTTGAGAGGGTCAATATCACTTGCTTATAGCTTGGCGCGGCATCCGGGAAGTCGAGTCTTAGGGACTACTAGTGTCAGATAATTGGCAATTACTGCTGCGTATACAACTATCAAATCACGCATCGCTGAATTATATGTTTATTCTAACATGGTGTTAGATATTACTACTATTCAATGTTTTACATGGATGAGTAGGTATAGCACAGCGGGCCAGCTCGGGTATCCATATAGTCCTTCACCACAGGCTCTACATCAGCTAGACGCATAACAGGCATTCTATCGTTGATCTCGGCAGTGTTCCACTTGTTGGGATCGTTAAAGCCAGTATAGTCAGCCAGACGAGTGGCGTTGCGACCTTGCCACTAAAGAACAATCAGTAAATATAAAACTTAGAGGGAAGTAGGAGTATCTTACCTTGGCCCAGACTCGGTCGACGTTAGCGTGGTGAAGAAAGAAGAGGGGCTCGTTGGGTGAAGTCGCAGGGCCCATATCACCGAAGATGATGCTGTGAACTATTGTCATGTTAATATTTTCAAACCGAAAGGGCGTGGAGATGACGTACTCTGAGCATGAGGCAAGCCCTCAAGCATATCAGCCATGGAGTGATAGTTGTCAAAGCTATAGATGGTATCCATGACCCGAGAGTTGTAGGCAGTAGCCTGCATATCACCAAGGATCTGGTTACCATCCTCATCCTTGCCAAGACCACCGTTGAACTCGCGGGTGAAGCAGTGAAGACGGTTACCAGGAGTGTTCATGTCAGGCCACCCCATAGCCAAAGTAAGATTCGTGTTGGCAAAAGGTCCATCGACGACACAGCGCTTGAAGCCAGGAACATCACTGCCAGTGAGTTTCGCATCACCACCAAATCCAGTCTTGGGGTCAAAGAGCGGAGAATTGACGACGTCGTTCTTATCAGCGTCAATCGTCCAGTCCCAGTATGGCTGAACGCCCTTGTAGTCGCACTCATCGCGAAGCATATCCTCGTGAAGCTGGACATACCAACGATGCCAGGGGAGGAAGTTCGCAACAAAGTGGATGTCCGTGTTGAGACTGAAGTGGGTATAGACGAGATCGTCCATGCGTGTTGTGACATCGTCGACATCCTTGTATGCCTTTTTGGGGAGGTTGCGAAGACAGACTGCAGCGCGGAGATATTCTGTCTTTTCGGCGCTGGTGAGTTCGCGCCATTCTTTGCGAACGACGGGGTCGGAGCATGAGCCTTCTGCGCGGGCTACGGGGCTGGCGATGGATAGGGCGGCGAGAGCCAGGCTGGCGAGGAATGAGTGGGCAAGCATTTTGTGTAAAGCGAATGTGTTGGAACGAATGACTGATTGGGGTAACGAAGGACGAGCTTGGCTGGTAGACTGAACTGCTCGGAGGACTGACAGTAACTTAAATAGCAATCAGCTGCGAGGCTCGTCCCCTGTAATGGTGTATCATGGGTTATTCTCCTTTCCGGAGCTACCGTTTAGCGGCATCTGAGAATACCGGCATGCGGGAGATGCCGTCCACTAAGAAAAGAAGTTACCGAGGAAGTGGAGCAAAAACCGTTGAGCCGGTTGCAAGTATCCGTAAATACGAACTTTAACGTCTTCGGTCATCTCCTCCTTCTAGAAGCCAAGAGCGATTCCAGTTGTCGCTAAGAATTAGAATTGGCGGATTTTCCACCAAATGCAACACGGTGAAACCCTTAGCGGATTCTTTGACCCACGTTAAAATCTTTTTATAGCGACTGAGATCGAGGACAGGGGAGACGACGGGATGCCACGCCACGTTGGGACTAGTCAGGGCACACGGGCCATAGGGTAAGTTCATGCAATTGTCATTGCCAAGACATTAAAGGGTGAGTTCATCTGAAATCCCGTATAGAACTGTCAATCGGATCTAGGGAGATTCAAGGGGATTTTTGATTAGATGTGACTGGGAGGCGTTCATTGATCAGTGCCCATACACCGAGGCTGAATGTCAATAGGCAGACTGCTGAGTTGTCAGCCAACGGATAGTCAGGCTGCAGGCGGGGTTTAGCTGATTGTCAGCCCAACCCTCTCGGAAGCAAAGCCTTCTCACGATCTGAGTTCACCGAGCAACTAATCCCTTGAGCTTAAAATCACGACCTACCCATCATGAAGTCCTGGTTTCTCGCCCCTGACTTCACCTTCACTCCCGACGGACCCCTCCAGCTTGGCGCTGTCATCCCTCATCCCAGTCGTCCGACCCAGACCCTTGCATCACCCCGCACCGACTCAATCACGCTTCCCGAAGTGCAAACTCTGATCGAGACGAACCATTCTCACTCAAATGATGTCACGCGAACCGCTGGGGTTAATCTCTTTGCCAAGTTTGTAGAGCTTGCTTCTGCTTCTATCGGCTATGAGACTAGTCGTCGCAATGCTCTTGAGTATGGAACTATAGATCATGAAGTTCGGTCTTTAGTGGCTCCATTTACGAAGGAGTTTCTGCAGAGTATCGTCGATACCGAGGCTGTTAGAGAGCATATCCACTCTGGCTTTCTTGGAAAGCGAACCGTTTACTTCGTTTCCGGGCTCAGGGTTACCAATTCCCCGTTTACAGTGATGGAAGAGAAAGGAAGTGGACATAATACCTCACTGTCAGCTTCAGGCCCAGCAGGCCCTGTTCCCGTCGAGGTCGGTGCTGGTATGTCTGGTGGAAAAGAGAGCTCGAAGACGGATTCTTACGAGACTGCTCCGGGCATCATCTTTGCCTATCGCCTTCACGCGATTCGCGTTCGAGGCAGCGGCAGCGTTAGCTCGGAGATGTTTTCGCACCGCAAGCTTTTCATGTCCGATAGACCCGAGTCCGATCCTTTCGAAGTCATTGATGTCACGGCAGAAGTACTGAAGGCGGATAAAGAAGAGGATGAGGCGCCTAAGTACGAGATGGAAGATCTTGGAGATGGGGAGTACTGTCTTGTAGCAAAGTCATAGAGTTGCGCCTCTTTCCCCCGATCACTAGTCTCGAATAAGGCACGAATGCTGAAAGTGTCTTTTTCGTCTTCTCATCTGTACATAAATGGTGATACTGCATCATACATAGCAGCCCAAGCCCTCCATGCATCAGCCTTTTCACTCCAAAACCATATCGGATTTATAAACCTATTATGCCCTGTCTGATCCGGTGCCATCTTCTCCAACAACCTTCTCATGCCCTCAGTTCTCTTTAGACACTTTACTGGACTTTGCTCTGTTGGTATGGGAAGAACGGTCGAGAGAACCTCTGCGTAAGCTATTGTTGATGCGGATATAGCAGCTGCCACTGCTGTCGCTATTGACGATCCAGGATGGCAGATATGAGGACCAAAGCGTTTGGTAATCTCGTCGTTGAGGCGGGTTGGTAAGTTGTCTCCGAACGTACCGAGCACGACCGTGCTTCGATCTGTGATTGGGGGGTTACTGGCATTGAAGGTCCCCTGGCAATCTGTTGCTCTTATGGAGATGACTGATCTATGTCTCGCGGGGAAAGCTTCTCTTTGATAAGCCGCATTGTTTCCTGCGCTGGCTAAGAATGTGATGTCGCGATTCCGCTCAACGCCTTCTATAGCTGCAGAGATGACATCGTCGTCATGCGGGAAGCCGAAGGACATGGAGACGATGTCTGCTTCTGCTTCAAGTCCGGCCCACCGAATTGCCTACCAACGGATCAGTGTCTTTGCTACTACCTAATAGCGTATTTCTCTCACCTGTGCTATTTGATAACTACTGAACTCGAGTTCGCCAGTATTCTTAGCAACTCGGGCCACATAAACGTGAGCTAGCGGAGCAGCTTCCATGATCAACCGGGTCATCAGGCTGCCATGCCCATATTCATCTTCCATCGAGTCTGGTTCAGGATTGTCTTCGCTCTCATCTCTTGTGAAGTCCTTCCACGCCTTTATAGACTTCTTCCTTCTTGGTATCTTGTAAAATGGCAACTCTGCGTCACACCCTGTATCTAAAACTGCTATCTTGACAGGCTTGAACTCCTGGTCTGGCCTTTCGTCCCGCAAATTCATGATATGCATGCTAATATGTTTCAAGTTGTCAAGCCATTCTTCAGGAACGGCCGTCTTGCCCGTATGAAAGGAGGCCACTTGAGAATGGAGCTTGTTGTGATTCTCGACCTCATTGCATCTTGCTAAGTAGGATACGTATTTTGCATCAGCTTTGAAGGCAATATTGACGAGCTTCGACAGTGGTTCGACAATTTCAGTATAGACTTTCCGTCTTATGCCACCTTCACCGTTGTAAGTGGCAGGGTCATCGGCTGGCTTCGTTGCCTTGGGCTTTGGGTTAGAAGTGGCGAATGTTCTGGGATCCAAGCAATTCGCCACTGCTCTTGCAAAGATATCCCGGTGTGTTGATCGTGCCCATTGAGCTTTTTCTAGCTCGCCTAGCAGCTGTCGTGCCGCACCATGGTCTCTGTTCAGTCGAGATGTCAGTGGTAGATGCAACATAGACGTGAATGGTCTCGCAAGTCCAATCTGCAGGAGTATCAGCCCCAACCCGAGGATGTGCGGAAACGGGTGTGTCAGCATTGACTTGTCTTCATCTTCAGAAGTCCGCTGTTGATTCTCGAAGTCAAGTGACATATACACCTGCAATGCGAGTTGATCTTTCGGTGATTGTTGGTGATCCATCTCATGCATGAACCAAATATCATCACTTGTCCAACGATTCCTCATCAAATCAGACTCATAGAACTGCCAGAAGGAATGCGCAATGGCATGAGCAAGCAATATCTTATCCTTGTCTGTGAGCTTGTAACTTTGGATGACCAGAGAGAGTGGAAGTCCTTGGCCCGGGCATAAAAATCTCTCAAGAGGAGCAGGTGGCGGAAGGGATACGAGACCAACGCCTTTGACAAAGTTGAGATTGACTTTGGCAAATAGTTGACGTCTTAACACCTGACAGAAGTAGTCGGAGTTGATGCACTCCAGGGTTGAAATCTTGCCGTCTCCCTCCTCGTCACTAGAAACATTTGCAAACTTGACACCACCCTGACGACCTTTCGTTTGCCTTACTCCCATTAGTTGATCAGAAGACGCATTTTTAGAATGATACTCACATAGGAATACCCAGCCACAAATGCTGCCAGTAACTCATGTTCTCGGAAGAGATGACAACCTCAAATTGCGCATGTTTACTCTGTATATGCGGCGTTGCATCAAGGTGAAGTCTTATAGGATGAGCGAGTATATGATGATGAGGCTTTACCTCCTTGGATTTATTCAGCCAAGATTTCTGCTGCGGCATTTCGGCGTGGTGACAGAACGCGTGCTGGTGAAGAGCCTCGAAGAGGTTCCTGCTGACATGCTGAGGATACTCATCTGGTTCTGGCAACGCCGATCCTGTGGTGAGCTGGTCAAGACCAGTCTTTTTCTTTGGCTCATCCTGGCTCAGTTTGGTTAAAAACATGTCGCACTGCTCCTTAGCTTTGATTGGGAGCGTTTTGTCGGTGATAAAGGCCATAGATATGCATTTTTTCAGTCGTGATCTGTTATCTGGTCTTGCCAGCGCCACGATGCGGATATAGTCCTGCCCAGGGATTATCCAGCTCCCTGCTGGAGTAGGAAACTAAAATATCTCAGTCAGTGTTCTTAGACTTGAGGTGACCCACCTACTATGCAGATCTCAAGCAGCGTATGCAGCAGCTTTCCAGCAGCCTTTTCAGCTTGCTCGTCAAGCTCATAGCCAGCGAATGACTCTTGAGCAATTTGCCCCAGCCTTGTCCCAACTTCCCCCGCAAGTCGTTGCCGTTGGCGAATGCCGCATTCCATCACCAAAGCATAGACTTCTTTGGCAACTTCAGCGACCAGTTCGCACGACCTCAAGTGTTCAGGTGCCATATCGTCGTGCTTCGCATGTTTTCCGCCGCAAGGCTGAGCTATGTCAAGTGGAGGTAAGATGATCTGTTTGGTCCTGCAGCTAAGTATCCCTGTTGCTGAGGGCACGTGACGATAATCAACAACAAATTCTTGGGCCCTGGTCATTTTGCTGCGGCCTCATCATCTCCTCTCTTTACGCAGCCCGATTTTCTGCCACGCTCAAAAAATGCCCACTTATTCATTTTGGGCCTCAAAAACATGGATCTGATGAACCTGAGTGCTCGAGACCTTTCGCACAAGTGTCTTGAAGCCTTTCAGCTATGCTTGACATTTCGCTCCGCAGACCCCGAACTGTCCAATCAACAAACGTTTCATGATGAGCGATTTGAGTATCGCCTGGCAGACCTTAATCTATGGATCGACGGAATCGGCGCCTTAGCTCCTTCAAAAGCCTCACTCGATTCGAGGCTACGTGAGCGGCAGATCGACCTTTCTTTAGTAAAAGGGAACCTTGTCATGCTGTTTCAATCACTAGAAGACTGTTTAAACCTACTCACAACTAACCAAGCACCTGAAGATGCATTGCAAGATATTGACTCCGCTTTGGAAAGTCTCGTGTCCCTGTCTCTGGCTATCCGTAAGACGGGGCGTCGGTCACGGCTTCACAAAGCAGATCGTCTTTTCAAGCCAGAAGAACATGCTGAGTTGAGAAAACACTTGGAAGCTATCATCGTTCTCCGGCCTGGACCCGGCCCATGCGACGGTAGCAAGTTTCAAAAGACGATGAGTTCGTTAACAGCGCTACAAAAACATCTTGTGACAGCCAACTTGAAGCGAAGAAATCGTTTCATACAAGCTCATCTACACTCTTTGGGTCTGAAGAAGAGAAGTGTCGGCTTCGAGTTACTGCCTCAAGCTATGCAGCAAGCGACTGCACCAGCTGTCAGTCCAGAGGGCAAGACAAGAGTGGCTCTATCCCCTATATCTACTCATACTTTTTACCAGCTTAGTGAACCGTTACCAGCACCCATGTCAGTCACCTCAGCTTCGATCCCCGAGAGTAAGCTCGAATACAAAGAACCCGTTTCTAAGAGAACGGAGTCGACGCCAATGACAGTCATTACTCAGATCACTGCTTCTGCTCGATATCCGCGCCCAAGGATATCCGATAATGAGCAGAAAGTGGTTCAGTGTCCTTGTTGCTGTCAGACATTGCCTGTATCAGAGGCCAAAAGCAACAACCGCTGGAGGTGAGACTATTCTGTCAACTTTCCACCTTCGGTTTTGGTTCTGATGCTCCTTCAACTTTTAGAAAGCATCTATCAGAGGATATACGTCCATATACCTGCATATTTGATAGGTGTCCTACCCCAGACGTATACTATAGTAGTCGGTCATTGCTGGAGCAGCACTTTCGACAGGATCATCCACCAGTTTGGGTTTGTCCCTTGTGTGATAAAGAGCCTGTGTATTCGAATATGACTGAAATGATGGATCACCTTCATAGTAACCATGCACAGGCTATTGGGGGGGACATCTCAACGATCATATCGTTATCTGCCCAGACAAGAATGGGTATAGAGAGCTGTCCCCTCTGCGGAGTCAAAGGTGATACCGATTCTCCAGACTTGATAGACCATGTCCTCGAGCATGTCCACGACTTTTCACTCCGGTCTCTTCCCTGGCCTAAATCCTCAGAGGTTGACCTTGGCGGTGAAGTTGGGTCTTTTAATTCGGAGAGTGATGAGACCTTTTCTGTCATTCAATGGCTAGAAGAATATGAACACGATACAGAGGAGATTGACCCTACTCTGGAGTTGTCGGTCTGCGACTATCAGAGGCTGGCCATGATAACAGAACAGATTGAGTCTCAGAAACAGGATAGGGTTGGCCTTGACATCGGATTTGCTGATGAGCATGGCGACGAAACTGCCGAGGCCGAGACTGATATATCGCAGCTTACGCAAGACACCCTTGATCCGGTGGATGAGATTGAGGAAGACCGTGATGTGGTCTATTGCCATGAATGCTCTGCTGAATGGTATAGAGACGAGAATGGAGGGCAAACTTTGAAATGCCCAAAATGCCAGAGCGAACTTGTTGAGATTGTGTGTTCCCTGCCACTATTCTCCCTTATTCAGAATACTAATCATAGTGACAGGTTGAACCTGAAAATGATCCTCGCGATCTAACTCAACGCTCTTCTGCGTCTATTTCACCGGAGCCAAACCCCCCCAGTTCAGATCCTCGAACAGTTGGTGAAGATGGTGGTCATAATAGGGACGAAATAGTCTCAAAACCAAGCCCTCACAAACCCGTCTCCAGGTTTCAAAGGTTCGCCGACCGCCTTTTCACCCGCAACAAGCGCGATCATATTCAGGCAGAGGACAAAAAGAAAGTCGCCGGGATCTTTAGCCAATTTCCAGCCCTTAGCCAAGCGGCCTACAGCATCCTGGTAAAGCTTTGTCAAGAGCGCCTAGAACTGTTTATCAAGGTGAAGTCTGCGTTTCCAGATTTCGTAACAGATATCCAGCGCGAGAATATCTCGCTCAATGATCACTCCGTCTCCGATTTGGACAGCTTTTTACAAGTCATGATTAGTTCTTATATGAACCCACTCAAACCTCTGCCATCAAAGGACCTCACGAAACCTATATCAAACTATTTCATCAAGAGTAGCCACCGAACCCTCGTACATAAACCATTATCGGACTCTCAGACTTGTTCTGATTCAATTCAAAAAGTAAGCCTATCAAGCCTACCGCGCCTAACACACTCTGACGTTAATGAATAGGCGCTTCATGCTGGATATCGATCCATTGATTTTGATGTTTGGGATGGTGATGATAGTTCTACAGCTGACACAGTAGACCGCGATCTTGAATCTATATTTCGACCGTCTCCAGCTAGGCCCGGACCAACCACGAAGGCATTTACCCGACTCTTTGGCCCTGCCAGGGAAGCTAGGGCAATCACTCCCGAAGACCCGAAGGTCACACTTTCTAGAGCAGATCGTTCCCGTGCAGAGCCAATCGTCACCGATGGTTTGACTCTCACGGTGCTTTTTGGCTTCAGGGAAGCTTGTCAAGTGATCAGAAAGTCTGCCTTTATCAATACCAATCTCCCTGTGATAGTCAATCTTTCAGTCTACGCAAGCCCTGGCCAGCAAGAGATTATGGTTCGAATCATGAAGGAAGAGTGGAATGACTGTCTAGTTGATAGGCCATTGGAAGGCTGTGATCCAAGGTTTCGGTTACCAAAATTGCGAGATCTTCTAGGTCGGATACTTGTTAGACTCTCAGCAGCGGCAGGCCCTGTTCTTCCTAGATCTAAAGAATCTGGCAGGGATCAGCTCAGCGAAGGAAGTCATAGTCAAGAGCATGTCCCTATCATACAGCCATTGGCTGAGCTTGCGGTTTACATGCGGAACGAGCCATTTGAAGGTTTCAACACTCCCTGGATGAAGTCTCCTACTCATGTTTTTTCCCTGCCGGAGCATCACCTACAGGACCTGATTTCCGTCTCACACACAAACCTCTTCCGACACAACCAAAACCACTTCTTTTGTGTCACCCCAGACTCAGCAAGTGTCTACCCTTCAAACCTTGACCCCTTGCAATTTTGGAAACACGGCGTTCAAATGGCTACCATTAGCCGGCACCGTGTGGATGAGGGCATGATGTTGAATGAAGGAATGTTCACTGATGAGTCAGGATGGGTTGTCAAGCCAGACCATTATTTCTTTACGGATACAGGTGTCCTAGGCGGACTCCTAGTACACTCGAGGCTTATCGAATTGTCCATATTCGTTTTTCAGGGTCAGGCTTTCGACCTGATCACAAAGGATGGGGCAAAACAGCGAACTAGGGATCTGTCACAATTTACTAACGCTACCATCCATATAAGTGGAGAGAGCCAACACCAGCTATTCGTAGAGGATGACTCTGCTCGAGACGAAGAAACTGGTGCTTTGGGCTACAAACTTCAGTTTGTTCCAACCTGGGCAAGTACTAACATAATTCCTGAACTCAGTATTCTTCGGTGAGTGATTCTATAGCTTACTTAAGTGGTGCTGACGATATTATTTAGGATAACATTCGAAGACTACGTCTTCGACGAAGGTTTAATAGCTTGGACCAGTCTTAGACTAGATCGCCTGAATCAAGGATACCGGCTTGTTCCGCTGTATAACAATGAAGGGGGACTCTTAAGTGAGGAGAAAATGCTCATTAAGTTCAATGTTAAGTTACAAAAGTAGAAGCCGGGTCTTTCAAGCTTATTACACTTCTAGATATTTTATATATTGTGTCTGGATTTATGAGACAAACACCGAAGGCTTATGTAGAAGATTCGTAGGGCTGGCATGTATTGAGGCCCAGAAAGAATTAACATGTATTGTCCAATAAACCAAATGCTGCGCGGAAAGCCCTGTTTGCTATGATGGGCCCGAGGTAATATGTCTACTACAGTCAGTACATCTCCTGGAACGCTGATGGTTAGGTCTTCATCTCTTAGTTTCTTTCGCGGAACCTCTCGCAAGATAAGAACAGGTGTCCGATAAAACTCAGGCCCTCAATTTCTTATATGCAGATGCTTTACGTATCCTTCACCGGCTCTAACCCTCGGTCTCGGATAAAAGCCGTGCCAAGTAAGCATAGCCCAATTAAAGGAACTTGCAGTATGAACACGCTGTGACTTGCAGACATGTAGGCATCCAAAACCGCAGGAACTCGGCGCATCGACTCCGGCAGCACGTATGTCGAACTGGCAAGGCCCTTGTACTCTGTTGGTAGAGTAGCGCGTAATTGAGCTTGAAGCACTGCTGCAGAGACAGCAAGACCACATGCCCCTCCGATACAACGATAGAAATTCCTGTTAGAAATGATGACTGCGCGACGGCTCTTCGGCGAATGTGCCTGTAGTGCGATCAGGGTAGGTTGAAAGATACACCCGACTCCTGTTCCGACAATGGCTAGTATCACAGCGATAACGGCTGGACTAGTATGTCTTGTAAATAGTAGCGCAAGGCCTGCCCCTCTGATAAATGCGTCAGCAACTGATTCGAACAGGAACGGAGGTGTGAGGAGTTTACAAAGTCCAGATAGCAAAACCGAATATGATCACCTCGCCGTATCGGAGACGGCGACTGATGTATTGTCCCGAACCAATAGAAGCAATCATTTGCGCTGCCACCAATGGGGTGTAAACAGCTGCTGATTTGATCGCACTGTACTGGTGAGGGTTTTGGAGATAAAGTGGAACGTAGTAGAGGTAGGACTGGTAAACAGCACCGAGCAGACAGTTCTGGGCAAGCATAATAGCCAGGCTTGAGTTCTTGTAGATGTCAACTAAATTGGAATGATCAGTTATATTCATCTTGGACACGAATTTCAGGCAGGTCCTCTTACTGGGCATCATTGGAAGCTTTGCCATCTTCCATTCCCATGCTATAAAGGCTATGAACAGCGCACCGCCAACTGCAAGGAAGCTTATCGATAGTGGCGAGTCCCATGAGAAATATGAACCTCCTTGATGATGATTAACATTTGTGACATCAGCTTTCGTGGAGCTTTGGCTCTTACCTCCGGAGATAGGGATCAGAAGCAGTACAATACCAGCGCCTGATACCAGTGAACCCACCCAGTCAATCTTGGAAATTCCTTCCCAAAAGCCAATAGTCGGGGGCTTTGAGGGGAGAAAGATATAGGCCAAAACCGCGGTGATGAACGACAACGGGGTCAAAAGCCAGAAGAACGCTCTCCATGATGACTTTTGCATGATACCGGCGGCAATGAAGGGTCCGATTACATTACCCAATCCAACAGTTCCTCCAACAACTCCTTGGATTTTTCCTCTCTGCTCAAGAGTGACGATATCCGAGATGATGATGTTGACAAGGTTCTGAACACCACCGCCGCCGATACCGGCGATGGCCCGAGAGACGTAAAACATAATCGCATTCTGACTCAACGAGCAGAGCAAATCTGCGACACAGAGCAATAACGCTGCAGATACGAAAATGACCTTGCGACCAAAAACATCAGAAAGTCTTCCGTAGAGCATCTGAAAGCAAGTATTGGCAATCAAGCTGGATGTGCCAGCCCATGAGATGGTAGCTCCGGCGTCTAAGTCTTTCGCAATGGTGGGGATAGTCACTGATATGCCATTTTGATCAATTGTGACGAGTAGTAAAGCCGCAGAGAGGGTAGCGAGGGCGGTAACTAATTGTCGTCGAGGCAGGATATTTACCTGGTCGTGAAGAGCTTTTTCGTCCTTGGTGAGTACCATTCTGTCCTCTACATTGAGGTATATGAGAAGGAATAAGTTCATAATCAGGTTTCTGAGTCAATTGAGGCATTATGACTCTTGGCCTTCGGCTATTCCCAAACGGTGATGCGAGCCACAATTATTTCGGACCTTGTCCGCGGGATTTGTCCGAATACTTCTTGATATATGCACTGATAAGACGGAACACAAAATAATACAATCTATAGTACCATATTCTGAAAATATCATAGAATCACACCGTTACTACCTACCAACTCAATGCCGATCACTCAGACTTTGGTGGCCACTTCACCCTCTTCTCCGCCTGAACATACAAATTGTTCGGCCGAATCAGCTGGAAATACGGATCATACTCAATAGGCCCGTCCTGCGCCAAGCTGAACTTGTACCGATACACAAGCTTCGGTAAAAACACCTTGATCTCCTGCAACGCAAAGTTAAAACCGACGCACATTCTTGGGCCTGTCGCGAATGGGATGTAAGAGCCGGGGGGCCGATTCTTGACCTGTTCTGTATCCCAGCGATCAGGGTCAAAGCGCCCCGGGTTCTCCCATATTTCCTTGTTGTTATGCATGTGATGCAGTGCTGAGATGACTACTGCGCCCTTGGGTAGTCTGTAACCTCCCGGTAGGATCATATCAACCTTGGCGGTGCGACCAGGCTGAAAAGAGGGGTTGTGCAGGCGCTGTGTTTCCTTGATGAACTTATCTAGGAAGCTAAGCTTGCTAGTTGTCTCAGCTGTGACTTGGGTATTCTCATCCCAGTCGTTTTCGATGAGTTCTTGAAGAAGACGTTCTTGGTTTCCTGGGTACTTGACAAGACTGTAGATCAACCAGGATAGCAAGGATGACGTGGTGGTGAAGCCGGCGGCTGTAGCTACGAGCAAGGTTGGGGCGAATTGAGAGGGCGGTAGCTTGCTGCCCTTGTTGTCTTTGGCCCGTAGGAAGTAGTCTAGACAGTCAGCTGGGTCCGAGACCGATTGGTGCACGAAGTCGTAGCTTACCGACAACATTCTCAGCCTTGAGCGCTGCATCCTGAAGCTCCAGATCCTCCTGTCCCTTCGAAGCTCTGGCAATCGACTCCGTCATCATCTCCATGATCCTCCCCATCGTATCTCTAACTTTCTTCGGATCACCAAACGGCATCTTAGCATACCAAGCTCCCATAGACGACACACGCTTATTCAGCTCCAGGTTCTCAGCAATCTTGAGAACCATCTCATGCAGCGGCGAGTCCACTTCCTCGAAATGCGCAAAGTCCATACCTAGGACAAGCTTACCCACTGCCTGCGAGCCAAGCTTCAGCATGTACTGGTAGACATTCCACGCTTCGCCCTTTTCATCAAGCTCATCGAAAACTTTGAAGGACTGCTCTACTGTTCGCTGCATCGTAGGAGCGTAATGCCGAACTGCTTTTGGTCCGAGTGCAGGCGGGAGGAATTTGTGAGCAAGACGCCATTGCTCCGTGTCGGTATCGGCTAGAAAGACGCCTGCTTCTTGGTTCTTGATTGGGTGGAGGGGATGGCCGGGGACGATGTCCTTTGTGAAATAGTGGTCTTCGGCGAGGAAGATATTGGAGAGCTCGGCGCTATTGGTCTGGTAGAGGCGGTTGCCCATGCTGTTTGTGACAAATAACGGCCCGTATTTCTCGAAGAGGCGCTGGTGGTTACCGAGATGATCGGGGTAGATCTCTAGGTAGTTACCGAAGTATGGAATGCCAGCTGGGCCGGGTACATCACGAACAGCGTTACCATTGACGGAGACAGCGATTGGCTCTTCTTTATCCAAGACTTCAGATACTACATTGAGCCTTCGATCATCGTGAACAAAGCCAACGCCTAAAGATTGAAGTCAATCACTTGCGTTTCTGACGCAGCTCGGTAAAACCTACCATTTGGCTTGACAATGGCAAAGTGAGATGCGACAATGTTTTGAAGCTCCTCAAAGTCAACAGCCGGCGGCAGGTCAACTTCTCTGGCGGTGGACGGAGCCTCCCCCAAGAGATAAAATTGTTTTGTTGCCATAATGATAATGATGAACTTAATAATAGCCAAGGCCGTCTGTCCAAAGCTGAAATGCTCAGAGTATTTCGATGTTATATGGAAAAATTCCAGAAGGCGAAAGCATTCATGCATGGCACATGCAAATACCCATTCTCGCCTTCTTGTTATTACACCGCAGGCAAGGATACGAAGTCCAACGTGGAGACGACATGTCTGTCGCCGCGCACTGCAACATGAATGACGTTGAGGTTCTGCATCGTAGAAATTTTATCGTTGCATCCGTTAATCTCTCGGCATATCCGTGTCCGCAGATTTCTGGGTCTGATTACAACGCTTTTTACGATTGGATGATGTCAACGGGAATATCGAAAGGACCCGTGTCATGTCGGTACTCGCGTTTAGTATAATCGCGAAGACGGAAATAAGAGCGATATTCTATGCGATTTTCAGGGTCAGAGATCATTCTTGAGCCAAATGATCCTTGTGCGTTACATCAACAGCGGAATTCGCATTGTTTCACCGACTGCCTCCGGTCGACGTGGATCATAAAGCGGGTCGGCCTCGGTCCTGCGGATCCACAACGGGCCCTGAAACCTCGGCATTTCTGGAGACCCACTACGGAGCTGCACTCCGGCCCGCTGTGGACACATGCAAATGGCGGCATAATCCTGGTAGTTCCAGGGACCCGTTGCTTGTGAGTTTTATGGTATGTGGCTAGTCGTGACCGCCTGATACGCAAGCATTGAGCTGTTTAAGAGAACGGTCTGCAGTAGACCCAGTCTCTGGTATTCTTATCCGAATCTTTCACGGTCATCGCCAAATACCTGCACTTCAATTACCTGAACCAAGTCTCGTGTTGTGTTTTACAGCCAATAATGGAGGAATTTACTATCAAGCAGGTCGCTGAGCATAGCAGCCCCGAGGATGCATGGCTGATCATTCATGGCCAAGGTAGGCTATGGCAATTCCATTGCTGGGTCGCTCACTAACTAGAGGCAAGTCTACGACGTCACAAAATACCTGGCAGATCATCCTGGTGGTGCCGATGTCCTCACAGAAGCAGCCGGTACAGACGCCAGTGAGGACTTCGACAACGCTGGACACTCAGAAGATGCCTTTGAGATCATGAAAGACTGCTGCATTGGCAAGATTCAGGGCTTTGAGAAGAAAAAGCCCAAGCTTAAGCCCCTTACACCTGTAAAGGCAGTCAAGATCCAGACTAGAGGATCCTCATCAATTTCGACTTTGGTCAACTTGGGCTTCATTGTCTGCGCTGGTGCAGGAGCGTATTACTTTACTCGCCGCCAAGGGTTCACCGTACCAGACTGGTTGTTGGCGTCGCTACGCAGTGATTCAACTGGCTCAAGTTTCATCAAAGGCATCATTGTCGGAGGTGGATCACTCGCAACGGCCAATGCAGTTGCTGCACAGCGATTCACCAGTATGGCGATGAAGAGCAAGCCCTTCACGAGTTATCCTGCCCATATGAAGGTTCCTAAGCGAGCTCAAGAAGATACCTTGTTGCAACGAGGACTCTTGGATCCAGTCACTTACTCGCCACTTCCTCTCAAGCAAAAGACCCTCATTGCACCAAATGTTTACCGCTTGACGTTCAGCCTTCCAACCACGAGCACCATTCTTGGTCTACCAATCGGGCAGCACGTCACTATCAAGGCCGACGTTGATGGAGAGAGCGTCGCGCGATCATATACACCAGTATCCAACAATTCCGACCTTGGCGTTCTTGAATTGGTCATCAAGGCATACCCTGATGGCAAGCTCACAAGCAAGTATCTAGCGAAGCTCGAGGTTGGAGACGAGGCTCTCTTCAGAGGACCAAAGGGAGCAATGAAGTATCAACCAAATCTCTGTAAGAAGATCGGCATGATCGCAGGTGGCACTGGCATCACACCAATGTTCCAGGTCATTCGTGCTATCTGCGAACATGACCGTGACACAACAGAGATCTCTCTTATCTATGCCAACAGGACAGAGCAGGACATTCTGCTTCGGGAAGAGTTGGACAGATTTGCTAGGAGATATCCCAAGAACTTCAAGGTGTACTATATGTTGGATCAGCCGCCGGCGAATTGGAAGTTTGGGTCTGGGTATGTGACTCGAGAGTTGATGAAGGAGAAACTTCCCTCGCCGAGTGTGGATTCCAAGGTGTTTCTGTGTGGGCCCCCCGGAATGGTGAATGCTTCGAAGAAGGCACTTGTTGATCTGGGTTTTGAACAGCCCGGGGCGTCAGCTAAGATGTCGGACCAGATTTTTGCATTTTAGATAAGACAAAATCCTTTCATCTCATCTGCATGGTAGTTCGTTTTGGTATCGCGCTCTCCGAATCAAAGAATCTTAAGTTCCATCCGCCATGGTTTCAGTAAAATATACAAACAGTCGTTTTGCCGTTTGCAGGGCATCAATGGAGAAGAAGCCCTTTCTTATCTCAGCTTTTTCGTATCTCAAATGGCGATCTGTGTCCCACAATTCTGATACTTCCAGCCCCACAACCTGTACCAATTCGCAAATAGTGAAGCAGTAATAATGCGCTACGGGAAAAGCCATTTCACTTGAACACGAAAGAACCAATCATATGCTTCGCCTTGCGCATCAGCTTCACCAGATGTCAACCACCATAAGATTGTGTAGAATGATTGGACTGAAACTATTTACTTTGAAAGATCATCGTTGGCTAATGTCGTTGCTAGCATGTACTGGCGGGGAACCCGACTTTACGACAGGGCGATTACAGCCCGCAAGAAGCTCTTTATCATTCGGAGCTTGGTATCAGGAATACGCCAAGTGGCTATAAAAGGGGACTTGCACCTCCAAGAAATCTTTAAGGTCCCAAGACATTCTTTTACATATCAAATAAACAATACTTTGCTTTTGCACCAATCTTTCTAAACCTATCCGTTCTTTACTTGAGCCGTCAAGATGCCGTTCACTGGGAGGTAAGTTATTGTCCCTTCCCCCTAATTTGTATATTTCTATTATGGATACAGCTGCTAAACTCTCATAGTGACATTTGCAAGATCATTTTCGCGATCATTCTCCCTCCAGTCGGCGTTTTCATGGAGCGAGGATGCGTAGGCGACTTTTGGATAAATTTGCTTCTGACATGTCTATGTATGTTCACATTATCCACTCATTTGTCGCGCGCTAACTCTAGCAGTCTTCGTTCCTGGCCTCATTCATGCCCTGTATATCATTCTGAAATATTAGGCGCTGCGACTCGCTTACACCGCAGTATCTTGGGCACAATGCTTTGAGGTGTTTTATTATAATTATACACAGATATATACTTTTATCAAACTACTTTACTCGAAGCCTGCTTTGCTTCTATCTTTAGATTCTCTTAGAAAGCTTTATGGATTTAATTTTTTCGCCCCGAAAATCTTTTCATTGTTGCTGTTGATGTTCTATGAGGAACGTAGGCAGAGTTTCCTAGCTGCATCTCTCGAACAACGCATGTTGTAGTTGGCTTCCTTATGGCCTAAAGCAACATTATATAAGACGGTGCTGAGTTTGCAAGGGTCTAAATTACCCTTTTACAATAAGAGATAGAGCACTAACTCATAGCCCTATACTACGTATTGAATACTACAACGCAGTAATCTTAAACCAAATTTTTTGTAGTGCTGGATCTGTAATTAATCTTACACTATACCCAATGGTCCTGAGTGAAGCTAAGTCAAAACGCTAGACAGCTATGACCGAGCTGAGCTTCAAGTGAAGTGGGTACGATCTAGCCTCCTCAGATGGGCTTAGACTGACTCATTCCGTTATTGTGATTGGCTTTCCCGTAATATTCGCCCTCGCACTGCCCGATGGCAAGTGGGGCATAACATTTATCCTCCGCTTAGAAAAACTCACCTCGCCCAGAAGTGTCATTCTTCCTATAGGTCCCCTCGTGTTTACCGTCAACGGCATTCTACGCACAACAATGGCCATCCAAGGAATCGTGACTGCCAAGATCAAGCATAAGCGCGCATCTGCTCCCAAAAGCCGTAATGGCTGCATCACATGGTACCCTTGCCCATCCTCCTTCACCATCCAAGTCCAGTGGCTAATTTTAAGTGTCTGTCTGCAGCAAGTAAGTGGCGTTATGAGTTTCCGCCGTCCGGTTACTTATATATATAGGATCCGACACCTAAAATGTGACGAGGCGAAACCGGTATGTGACCGTTGCTGCGAGGACAAGATCAAGTGCGACGGCTACGCAATGCCTAAACCCAAAGCTCCCCGGCGAAAGCACCGTAAAAAGACTGCACCAACAAATTCCGATACTATGTCTTTGTGCTTAACGATTGACGATATCCCCTCATTGACAAGTTCAGAGCGTTTGTACTTCCAACACTTCCTGCAGTTCACGACTACGCAGCTGTCACTCTCTTCCGGTTCGACCAACTTTTGGCTCCGATATGCTTTGCCCATAGGTTACCAGTTCGAGTCAATTCGATACAGCATGATTGCTGTTGGCGCCTCGCATCGACTATTCATGGCGAAATCTCTCGGTCATTCGGATATAGGCGAATTAAAAGGCTTCGCTACCCACCAATACAATAAGGCTATCGCGACTATTATACCACGCATGACAGCTTCTCAAGACTTGCATATTATCATGATCTGCTGCCTTCTTTTCGTTTCATTCGAAGGTCTGACTGGTCGCTATGACGAGCTCCTACAACATCTCAGTGCCGGAATCTCATTATTCGATTCAGCGCTGCCGTCGTCAAACGAAGAAGAACGCGCAATGACAACAAAACTTGCCGAGATGTTCTGCCGGCTTGGAGTAGAGTCATCCAACTTTATGCAAAATGATGCAGGTGTTTCCGGGATGCGAAAGTGGTATCACACGAACAAACCTCAGCACTCCCAGTCTCCAAAACCATTCAGCAATCTTGACGAAGCATCTTCTGCATTGCGGCATTTGGATGTTCTCTACGACGAAAAGCCTTGGCACTATGAAGGAAGCGATGCAGAGGGTACAGAGACACTTGTGTCGGAAACGAGTACAAACCTCCAGAGCGCTCTCGATGGGTGGACCGCGCGTCTTGATGCTCTCTACGAGGCCAGGAATGAGGACATAATGATTGAGGGGGAGCAGCAGTACCGCAACCTGCGCCTGCGCCAGCAATACTGGCAGATGGCGATCAATTCATACTCCACGAAAGAAGCGGCCGCCAATCCCAAGACTTTTGAGCCATTCCTGGCAGCAGCCAGAGAAGCAGCAGCACCTTTTATTGCTCTCCGCCAGCCGACATTTTCGCTCGATGGCGATCTGATCTCCGGCCTAGCTTTCGTCGCATCGACCACGACTGACGATGAAACCAAAGTACAGGCTCTTGACCTCTTGTGGCGATTGAATCGTCGTGAAGGGCTTTTGGACAGTCGTGATTTTGTTGAGTTGCATGAGCTTGCAAGGGCGCTTGAAACATGCAAGGAACCTAACTTTGACGAAAATTGGAAGCCTACGGCGGCGGCTGGGCTTCCGACGATTATTGAGAGGTTACGGAACAGTCTGGGGCAATTACATATTTAATAAAGTAATAGTAGACATATTTCAGCAAGTTACAGGGGCCGACAATTGAGGCCTGATGAACCTTTGTTTTAGTGACAACATCATGTCTATTAGTCCAGATTTTTGACAACATACCTAATATTAAATGATTTCTCATGCTCAGCGCGATGCATACTCTCCATTTTGCTTTTATTAACACATAACCCTTTATCTCTGACGGAAAAAGCACTCAATTGCTAATAGGGGCTCGATTTTCATTACAGTGTCTTTACATTGCAATACTCGCTGACCCAATGTCTCATCTGAGGGAGGTTCAGGGTAATCTGCTACTAACGATGATGACGTCATGTGTATGGAGATACTCCAAGTGACGGCTGGACCTCTTAACCAACGTGGGTGAGTCAGCGAGACTATTGATAGGTCAAAACCGCAAGCTGGAAGTGGTAAGGGAAGTCGGAGGCTATATGATAAGCTTTCTGAAGCGGGAGTGTGCTGTTCTTCGAAGATTCTAAAGCCAGGGCAGCCCCATATTTAGATGTGCCGAGGAGTGGAACCTTGAGGCTCAAGACAAGGATCCTGTGGATCAGTTTCATGCGGTCAGATATTACTTGCGGAAGAAACGCGGAATTAATGCCATCTTTGCGTCATAACGGAGCCGCACCGGACGAACGACGATAAAATTGTCATCTTGGGCTATTGCGCGTACATGCAATTGACGACCTCGGCTGCCCCACGTTTCAGTCGGTGTCACCTTTTCGGGGCTCGAATTTGAGGCAATTCGAGCCTCATCGTTGTGTCCTGTGTCTTCCGTCATGCCGTACCAGCCGGTCCCGATCGGAGGCGTCTTGCACCGACAATCCGGATCTTTGGACCGGAAATCGCCCCAAGTGTTAGAGTATGTGTGTAATGAATTCTTTACAAAACCCCCCTACAACTGGCCTTTCAGTCGAGTCGCGTCATCTCGTAGCTACTTCATATCACTATTATCTTGCAATTTTGCAAACATTAATCCTTTCTATACATTCTACCTGATTGAACATCGCGAAACCGTTGCTCAACGATATCATTATGGGTGCTTTTACTCTTCCTTCAACCGACGGTCGCACTGTCGCCGTACTCGGTGGAGGAGTACTTGGCCGCCGCATCGCATGCGGATGGGTTGCAAGCGGATTTGACGTTGTCATCCGTGACCCAAGCTACGAGCAAAGGGCTGCTGCCGTGGAATACTGCAACACTAGCATGTCTCAATACTCAGACTCACAGATCCGAGGAAGAGTGACAGCTGTCGACGATCTCGCTGAGGCAGTTGCCAAGGCATGGCTCGTTATTGAAGCTGTCCCCGAGAAGCTCCCTCTCAAGATCTCAACTTTTGCAGACTTGGAAAAGCTCACATCCCACGACACCATCCTCTGCAGTAACTCATCATCTTACAAGTCAAGAGAGATGATTGAGGGTCTCAAGCCAGAGACGAAACGACGTGTTCTGAACATGCACTATTACATGCCACCAGACTACCGTGTCGTCGAGCTCATGACAGACGGCGAGACCGACGAGAGCATCTTTCCATTCCTGTATCAAAAGCTCGAGGAGATCAAGTTTCACCCTTATATCGCACGCAAAGAGTCAACTGGCTTCATCTACAACCGACTTTGGGCTGCTATCAAGCGAGAGGTCTTGAACATTCTCGCCGAGGAAGTCTCGACCCCCGAGGAGATTGAGAAGCTCTGGAAGGAGATGTGGTATGCCAAAGAGAAGGGGCCTGTTGCCATGATGGATGCGGTTGGTCTTGATACCGTGTCTTTCATTGAGCAGCACTACATTGCTGAGCGTGGCCTGCCTGATACGCCAGTCAAGTTTCTTCAGAAGTACATTGATGGAGGCAGGTTGGGAGCCAAGTCTGATAAGGGCGGACTGCTCCCTCCAAGCAAGCCTGTCGATTCGGATCATGAATCCTCGCTCTACTTCTTAGACATTGGGTTGTCAAGTGGAAACGCAAAAGGGTATGCTACAGCTGGCCGTGTCTTAGTTGGTTCTAGCGATGGAAAGCCGATGAAGACGCTTGTATCAGGTCAACGTATGCCTGATGGTATTGACATTTCGAAGTCCACTGGAAAGCTCTTCTGGACCTGCATGGGCAATCCTTCGGCCAACGACGGTGCTGTCCTCAGCTGCAATCTCGACGGAACGGATCTCAAGGAGATTGTGCCTCAAGGCTCGGTACACACACCAAAACAATTGACCGTCGATAACACGAGCTCGAAGCTGTACTTTGCTGATCGTGAGGGAATGAGGATCATGAGATGCAACTTAGATGGCTCTGAGCTCGAAGTCTTGATCCAAACCGGTGACTGGCAGGTTGATGAGCATATGCTAGATCCTACAAGATGGTGTGTTGGCATCACAGTGTCACCTTCCACTGGCAAGTTTTATTGGTCACAGAAGGGTCCGTCCAAGGGAGGACAGGGTCGCATTTTTCAAGCCAAGATCGACTTCCAACCAAGCGAGGATGCGAAGACCAGGACAGATATCGAGGTACTGTTCCAGGGCTTACCAGAGCCTATCGATTTGGATGTCGACGAGGATGAGAATGTGCTCTACTGGACGGATCGGGGCGAGTTACCAAATGGCAATACTATCAACCGCGCCAAGCTGAGCGACATTGCCCAGGTGACTCACGATGGTGCAAGCAAGCCAGGTAAAGATTACGAGGTTGTTGCCTGGGGATTACATGAGGCTATCGGCATCAAGCTCGACTCGAAGAACCGTCGTATTTTCGCCACAGACTTGGGAGGCTCGGTGTACAATTTTGATATGGATGGAGGTAACAGGAAGAAGGTGTATGAAGGATATCGGGCGTTTGTGGGTATCACTGTGGCGTAGGTACTGCACGAGCCTGTCCTTCGACATCCCGGAATACATCAAAGCAACGTTGCGATATTTTACAAGTGTGTCATGATAGAATATCCTTTCATAAATAACAGACTTTAATAGATCGACTTATTCGCTCTATGCCAGTAATATACAAGTCCCTTGGCAGACTGCCAGTAGTTTAAGTGACTTGAAGTTGGGTCTGAGCTGCGAGTCCTACGTAACAGCCAAATAGTACGTAACACATACATCAACGCGTCTCATCATGCCCCCGTCAATCGAATTGAGTGAAGCTTTCGCCCTTCTACCCATCATCCTCGCAGGTGTCAGTATTCCGCCTGAAGATGCGTGATACCAGCAGCCACATCTTGCCAGGAGGCTTATCCTCACTAGCCCTGCGAACAAGCCACCACTGAAGGGTCATAGCCGCCATGGCACTGTTCCATATGAACGCCACCATCATACCCACCGAGAACGACAATGACGTGGATATGTGTCTTGTTCCGCAAAGGCTCATGACTTGGAAGTCGTCGATACCGTCGGGCAGGGCGAAGCCCGAAAGCATGAGAACCGCCTGGCAGAGGAAGATATCGGTGTAGTTAACCATCATATGCACCCGGCGCCATTTCCTATTCATTGAAACCTTAGGTCTGAGGCTGTTCTCGATGAGGTAGGCTCCTACTGCCAACGTCGCCAAAACTGCTGTGACCAAGCCAATGATCTGGAGGGTAGATGGTCAGCACTGCTGTGCACATAAGACATACCACTTACCCCGTGTTCTGTTCGGAAATGGTCTGACGATCCCATCCCAGCCAACCCGCATAGCATGCCAATAGCCAGAAGAGGCAGGAAGAAGACGCAGAAAAGTATCTTCTGCCATTTTTCGATCCGAGCTTTAAACAAAGGTCGCTCAATGAGTTCGCCAAGAGCGATCAGGGTTGAAAAGATCAGGATGGTAGGGTATACGAAAAAGAAAGCGAGTGTCATGGCGGCCACTAGATGTCTTAGCAACGTTTAAACTATAGAAGCTAATTACTTACCGTGTATACCAGTCAGTATTATTAACAGAGGTTTCGAAATGGTGTTAACGTGATAGCTGTTCTTGGTGAAGTTGATCAGGTAGGTGTTGCCTGAGCTAGTGATGTTGATAGGGCATTTCGGAACCTGCATACCCGACGGACGCGTCGATGTGAGGTTTCTTTCGAGCGAAGTTCTTAGACCAGCGACTCCTCTGTTTAGCCAACAAGTCGAATGCCCTGTCAATATGTCCAAGTTACTTTGCAAGAAGTCGGTAACATAAAGCTGGTTCTGTGTTGTTCCAAAGCAATATTGTCGACGCGATTCTTCATCTGATCTCGGTACATTGAACTCTCGCGATCTCGATAAACTCTCGATGCTCAGTCCGGTCTCGCCATTTACATAGTCAAGATTGTGCGCCGCGACACTGCTGACTTGGCCTGAGAGTAATGTTGGCACGGACCAAGCCAGAAGAAGAAGTTGCTGAATGCGGGATGTCATAATGAAAACATGTGTCGAGGACGATAGGGGGTTCAAACGAAAAAACGGAGTCACAAGAAGAGATTTATCTAATATTGAAACCAAGGGCGATGAAACCGCGAAAGGGGCTGAGAACTTTGCTTACGTCTCGCACGAAGAGCCGCGTTTAAAATTAGATTGGAAGCTTAGACGCTTTCCCGCGGGACGCCGAAGTGAGAAGTACAACGGCGTGGTTGAAGCTAAACTTGAGGCTAAATAATTAGTTGTGCAGGGGTCTGAAGTATATAAGTTGGCCACATCCTAGCATTCGAAACGTCAGGGTCAAGATTGAGAATGTCAGCAGCTGACAGGGAAATCATCTTGGAAATAGTAATCTTATCAATTTATGTTTCATCTATTATCGAGACCTGTTAATGTGCTTTGGTGTACGTTTGTACGCTTAAGAGCTACTTTATCACTCCGCCCAAACATCCCCAGCATCAGGGGCAAAGGTATCATCGCCATAGCCAACACAGCTTGAAAGATGGTGAAGTCTTTCATGTTGCGAGGCGGGTCAGCGCTTTCAGCAGCCTTCATACCGTTGCCGAGTATGATGAAGCACCCACCAAGAAGCTGTCCGCCAGCCCAGGCAATAGAGCTGGTAATCTCGGCGCCCGCGGGATACGAGATCTCTGTCAGAACCTCCAGGGCAACAGGGACGATAGCAAGCGACGAGATACCCAGGCAGCAGAGAACAGCGTATAATGCACCGATCTCCTTTGTACTTGGAACCCATACCAATGCGAGATAGCAGAGCCCTCCGGCAACTACTCCGCATTTGATGACGAGGATGAACTTCTTGGTTCGGTCGATGACGGGAGCTGTTATGGCAGAGAAGACGAGACCTAGAACGATGAGGAGACCGCCTCCAATACCGGCCTCGGTATCCGAAAACCCGTAGGGTGTGACAATCTGGTTGATCAGGGACGTTGTGGCGACGAAGAGACCAGTGTAGACCCAGAATGGGATGATGATCAGGTAACACTCTAGCGACTGAACCAATATTAGTAGCGATGGTAGAACCTTGGGTCGTTCTATATGGTGAATCGCCGATGGGGAAGTTGGCGGCGCGGCAGGAATAAAACAGCCAGGAATGGCCACGGCAGATGACTGCAGATATAAGCTTCTAAACGACTGTCTGGGGACAGAGGATCGGAGGTTTGAGACATACAATGATGGCCACGTATAAGACCACAGAAGAGATATCGCTAGGCTCATTCGTCCACAACGGAACGACGATGGATCCAATCGCCGCTCCAGTTGGATTCGCAAGACTCATAACAGCTGTCGCCGTTACCCGTCCTTTGCTCGTGAACCAAGTTTCGGAGAAACGCGTCGGGGCACTCAGCACAAGAGACTGCGACATGCCCAAGATAGCTTGGGCGACAGCGACGACGGAAACCGTGTTACCATCGGATGAGTAAGATCCAGCATAACGAACCCAGCTGCCGATTAGGAGAAGCGCACTGCCGCTGATGAGGGTTGGACGAAGACCCCAGTCAAGAAGCTTGATGGTGATAAAAGTCATGGCGAAGTTTGCAAAGACGAAGATGCTGCTTAGCCAGTTCACCATTGTCTCGTCTACTCCGTAAAATTGGGCTGTAGATGAAGTGACGGGCGCAAATGTGAGCCACTGGAGGTATTGTCAGTATACAGTGATCTCCTTGACGAGATTCAATTCTGTCCAGGAGAACACAAGCGTATGTGCAAGGTAATCCCCAACAGACTGATTACAAGAGCGACATACCGACCAGCTAACCATGACGTTCAACAGTGTCAACACCACAAGCCCGAACCAACGGATCTTGTATGTTCTGTAGGGCTGTTCAATACTACCTCGCCTGACGGAAGAAGTCGAATCGTCGGGAGCAAAGACCGTCGGAGAGTTGAGGTTTTTCTTGTCCATCCCAGCGCCGGGACCTGCAGACTGAGCTGCTGGAGCTGCTTCGAACACGGAATTCTGAGATGTTGACGCCATTTTCGCTGCCTACTTGGTCTGTTGTTCGTCTACTTGGTGATGGTTCAACAAAATGGCATCAAACTAGATGACAAGCTCCGTGGAAATAAACGCAGAGGGAGCCCTGACATGGGTGATTATCTCTATCTATTGCATATCTAAACGCGTATTGTTGTGATATCTGAGCCAGGCGAAGCTCTTTACCCCCTGTTTCCCCGCAAACGTAGCTTTCTTTTATCTTAGATATGCCAAGATCGTCAATCAAACCTAACTTGTTTATCACAGAACGGGCCCGCGGACCGCGAGGCGCGGGCTGCGCGGGCCGCTTCCTTTCCCCACCTCATTTTCCAACATTAAGCCGGTTGCGTATTGACCGGCCACGACAATTCCCTCCGACACTCCGATCGTATCGCTCACTAAGGTTTCACGTTGTATTCTACACCGACTCTATCGTTTGCTGGCGCAGTCAGGCATCAAAAGTTTACTCATCATCGCCGCCGAGTCAAAGAAAATGGCCGAGGAACATTCCCCAGAGCCCGTTGGCCGAGTGGTAAGAACCTCATCTACTCCCATACCCAGGCTAGATAGGCAACGTCAAGAATTACCATCTAATACTGGCTTTCATATTGGCGTAGTGCGACCGATGCCGTCTTCGAAAGGTGGGCTGCGCCCCGACAAATACACGTACAGTGACTAAAATTGAAGCAACAATAAAGATTCGATGCGATAGATTATTTCCATGTTCCAATTGCCGAACAGTCCAAAAGGCCTGTAGCTTAGTTGGTTCCACACAAGGGATACGACAATCCAAACAAAGGGTCCTCATCTCCTCGCAATAGTAAGTCCCTCTATCAGCTGCCTATTAACCAAGACAAGACGTAAGTTAATTGACTTTATTGAACCACAGCGAGCAAAAGATAGATCGCATAGAGAACCGTCTTGAGGGTATAGAACAGCTCTTGCGTAGGGCTTTTGATGAACAACCTATTACCAGAAGTGTTCCACGACCTCCCGAGTCGCTACCTACAGACTCTTTCAATATCGTCGGGGAATTTGCAGAGAGCAGCAGAAATGGACCAAGCTATGCTGACTCAGAGATGGCTTTGGAGGGCAGCAGCTCCATGAAGGCTGCTACAGTATACGCAAGCGACTTCTTCCAGACTGTCCTCGGGCAATCACCAGCCGCCGACAGAAACACGCGTGTTAACGCTACATTATTGTCACTGAAGCAAATGATCGAGATTAATAGCTACCGGTCTATGGGGGATCGAATACCGAGTCGAAGGGAGACCCAGAATGATGGTATAAGAGACCTGGCAATGCCGCCCCTGCAGTCCGTTCTCACCATTCTGCGAGAATTAAAAGGGAGGCTTCAAGACAGATTCACATACGCGACTGGCATGGGCTAACCGTTCATAGAAACGAAACTGGTCACACTGACCATAGTTAGTCTGTTCATCTCCAAAGACAGACTGATCGATTGTTGCCGAGAGATATACTTCGCAGTCGATAACCTCTCACTTCCGACCTTCTTAATCGCAAACGCAACCTTACGTTACCTGTTCCAGGAGAAAGCTCAACAGTCGCAAGATCCGTCGTCTCGTGAGGAGTATTGCAAACTGTCTCAACTATGTCGAGGCAACCTCGAGACAGCAATGAACAAGTTCAATGTTCTCGCGCCACCCAGCCTGGAGAACGCAGAGGCCTTCCTTCTCGGGGTCAGTATCCTTACATAGACTCTACAAGTTTAGGACCGACACTAAAATACTTCAAATAGGCCATCTATGCCATCGAGGTATCGCAACCAATGCTTGCTTGGCAACTCGTGTCCGGCGCGGGAGGGATATGCCAGACGCTTGGCTGGCATCAACTCGTTCCCAATAGCGATAGCACCACTGATCGGAAAATCTCTCTCTTCTGGCTAACTTACCTCCTTGATAAAGGACTCTCCTTACGCCTCGGTCGACCGGCTGTTATACACGATGACGAGATTACGCTACCGGAACGGCTTGACAAAGCAGATGTACCAGGTGGCTGGAGGGACTTACTTACGCAATGGATCCGCCATTCACGACTTGTTGGCAGGGCCTATCAAGATCTATACAGTCCGTCGGCGCTTAGAAAATCAGTACAAGAGCGTGGCGAGCGCGCAAGGAACTTGATGGCAGCTCTAAAACGAATCATGGATGACTCGTTGATGCCACTTGGACAGGCACATCTGATGGAACGCAACACTGGGGACTTTGGATCAGCGCCTAATAGAATGATCAAGACAGTTCTGAAGGCTGATGAGGTGTGGTACTGGACGACTCTAACATTTATACGAAGGGCCGTTCCTTCAACTGAAGGCGGACATGGTGCTGTTAGCCCTGCGTGTCTGGAATCTGCTAGGATGGCTTTTGAAGCACATGGGGAATGCATGAGAATGACTGACCCCAGCTCAGAGACAAAAGCTGTATATCTGCTATGGTAATGTTGCCTTACCTCCTATCCAGATTACACATTGGAGAGTTCTAATGAGTGATTTTGTACGCAGGACAATTATCTACACCCCATTCGTGCCGCTGATTGTTGTATTCTGCAACGTAATCGAGACCTCCAACCCAGAAGACATTCGCATACTTGGGGAGTTTTGCGAATCGTTGAAACCATTGTGTGGTATATTCGAGGCTATCCAGGAGTTACACGACCTTTGCCAAGTTCTGTACAGCCTGGCGATCTCATACGTCGAAGCGAAGTCACAAAGCCAAGGGGGTGTCGATAAAATGGTCGAAGATGGGTTTGATGTTCAATCGAAGAGCACACATGGGGCAATGTCGTTTAGTAGTAGTTACTTCGATAACTTTTCTATAGGATCGAGTATTCTAGTGCCTCAGCCGAATAGCCATGTTTCGCAGGTCAGGGACTGGATCTCGGGGAATATGCATTGGATGGATGCTTCGCAAGAGGACTTCTCCGAGTTCTTGGCACAGTTGTCATAGCTTAAGTGCGACAGATAACAGAATTCTACCTTTTACAAATCCTTTTTGGTGACGAAGCAGTCAAAGGAACTCAAGTTATGTCCCACGGTCTGTACCGTCAGATACGGCATACAGCAGGGTGTCAGGGGTGTAGGCTCGGACACTGAAAAGCTTTCCTTTCTTCAGGCTCTCCGTAGATCTTCAACTTCAACATCACATCTCAAGTTGCATATGCATAACTTCAGCTAAAAATGAGAGGCTACGAAGTAGCATGTAATGTAACTTGAGAAGGAATGTACAGCGAGTGGAGAGGGTGCGGGTTTCTATCCACTGCCGAGACCAATGAAGGTCCATGAAACGGCTGCAACTGGCCGCGGAGCCCAACGCCAGGCCGGACCAGGCTTGATGAGTAATGAGCGATTGCTGCCAGAATGAAATTACGAGACCTATACGAAAATAGAGGTGACAAGGATGTTTGGATACAGCGCTACTTGCCCAAATAAGAGCAATTGTCGTACTGGCCCAGGGTAAATTCGTCCTAAGCTGTGCGGGAAGAGTCCTTGGCATCTCCAACCAATAATTATGGAAGAGACAGAGAGACGGGCGGAAAAGTAGAAAAACTCATGTTATTAAGTTACAATAAGCATCTGAAAGACCAAATAGCCATTGCACCAACGTCGCATGTAAGATGCACTGATCTAGTGGAACCATGTGTGTCTAGAAAAGCCCGTCACCGACAGCAAACCTCTCGTTCATCCCCATTGCTGACACCATTGGCGGGGACCAACACACTCTTGTTGACAGCCTGAGTACTAGGGGGTACATCAAGAGCAGGATTGCGATCAAAAAAGTCAGCAGGCCTGAGCGCAACAGTGATAGCCTCAGCAGGCATAACCGGGTAATCCTCCACGCGGGGATTATGCGTAAGTCCATAGGTCGCCCACACGACGAGATCCTCTCCCCGAACATTATCCTTGCGCGCCGCGTAATCCGCCACACCGTCCTTCTCAATCAGACTCTGGTTGGTCCACTTTCCACCAGCCCAGAGATCATCATCCTTGTAGCGGGTTACCCAGATATGATGCTCTGCGAAACGAGCGCGCTTGCGGACGAGGGAGGCTTGATCGGCCATGAGGAGTTGTGCTGGTGGGGCCATGACCTTAAAACCGACTGGGTTCTTGGAGATGGGGTTGAGCTTCTTCTCGTTGACAATCTTGAAGACTCGGGCCTTCTGTGGGTCGGCATCTAAGGAGCAACTCTTTTCGATAAAGGTCTTGTGCAGCTTCCAAGCATTGCCGTAGGGGTTCTCCTCTGACATGGGCAAACCAATGGAGTCTTCCTGTACGAGCGTATTCTCAAGGCCGTCGATCATGGGGTCGATACGGAGACTGAAGAGGTGCTGATGATTGGCGGCCAGAACGCCTGGAGAAACGACGTTGCCCCAATGGCTCGTCTTTCCTTCATCGATCAGACTGGTGGCGAGAATTCCAGTTGCTCTGGTCTCGAACTCGATGGTTCCGTTTTGCCAAAAGTGCCAAGAGAACGCGTACTCATAGTTTCCAACCGTGATGATGCTCTGGACCACAAGAGTTCGCGCTCGCGTCACGGCAGCGACATCGGTTCTGGCATTGGTATGCTTCCATCCAATACCGGCGTCCTGATTCCACAGTCAGTGACAATGTTACTTTTCGCAATGGGAACGATGACATACCTGTTCGTGCAGACAAATCACGTTGGGGGCTTGGTAGGGCTTTCCGTCGGAAGCGGTGAGCAAGGCATCGAAATAGCTGATATGTCCCAAGCAATCACAGCCGAGCTTCAGGTTGTTAGCTGTCAGGCCCGCACCAGCGTCGCCGAGATCGAAAGCTTGTCGACGATGGTATGGATATCTGGGATCTGTCCATCGACGGTTAGCCAAGCTTCACAATCTTTTAAGGGCTTTTCTTACCTCCATATGGTACCGTCATCTCACTCATGCTCAAGCGATAGAAGGTCTTTCGTCCATCATACCTCACATCATGGATGGTCATGCCCTCTCGCCAATTGAAGCCAATGCGGAATCGCCATTTCTGCCAAGAGATAGAGTTCCCATCCTGCACGGTGTAGCTGGGTCCTTCAGGCTGTTGAATGACAAGAGGCTTGAGATCATCTCGCAGCTTGACGCTCAGAAGATCAGGGTGATATTCGTTCTCGGCGCAGTGAGCAAGAGGAGCCCCTGGTGCCGTATAGATGGCTGCTCCGTCCTCCTTGCCACCCGTTGGTAGAGCGTCAATTCGGATAAGTTTCAGATCAACAGAGTCGATGACGGGGGAAATGGGAAGCGGGTAGGAGTACATGTTACTCTCCAGGTGGTTATGCGGGGCGCGGGCGTAAAGCATGGCCTGGACCAGTCTCGGGGTCTCCAGCGAAGAGTCTTTGTCGGTCCCGAATGGCCAAGTGTCGCATTGAACCGTCACGTTGGGGTCCAGACCCAACTTCTTGATAGCTTCCAGGACCTCTGGATGAGATAGAATGGCATAGTTGAATGCAATGACCTCGTCCCTGTTAAATCAGTGTCAGTTGTCTTCTCATACATGGTAACAGCTGATACGAACCTGTCGAAGCCGGCATGATCTCCAGGCTTAGATAGGGTCGACTTGACCTCGGTCGCAGTGTCCAGACTGACGATGCTTTCGGTGAAACCTGGCTTGCCAGGGAAGGTATAGAGGACCTGAGCACATCTAGGTACGAACGGACGGGCAGAGACAGGGACACCGTCACTCTCAGCATCCAAGTATGGAAGAAGTAAGGACTTGGGAGGTTCGGAAAGCGTTGTGTGTTTGAACCTGACTTCCTCCTTGCCTTCAAACTTCTCTTTGACGAGTGTTCTCACTATCTCCGCGGCTTTAAGCATCTCCTCCTCGCTCAAAGCGTGGAGGGGATGAGTGCGTTGGCCTTGAACTGTCATGGTGTTTCCGTTATCGTATTCGAAATGTTGTATTCTTGTCTCTTACAAAACTGTGAAAGCATCATCACATTGTATTTATTTTATGCCAGCTATAACATCTATTGCATCTAACCTTTGCTCGGAAACCTTATCGCCAGCGACTGTATCACCTGAACATCTCGTGAGTAGCACAAAGCAGCTGTTCAAGAGCTATCATCGTCCGCGGACACCGATTTGATGATACTCGACGAGTGCGGCCCGCGGCGCAACTAATGTTATCCCGCTGTTTGCTATCTGGTGACACCTGATAATAGTGCGGCCCGCGGCGCGATCAATCGCGTCCGGTATCTGGAGTCCACTGACCCCCTCTTAATTGTTGCGGTTAGTTTCCGGGGTACCCCGCACTCGATCGACCTAGTATCAGGACAGGAGAAGCAGCTGACTAGTCGCATGCTCATATTCCTGTTTTGATGATCGAATGGCAAGGCATGGCCCTACGACATCAGTCGGAGCTCATCGGCTTACACTGATTGCGTTCCAAGTAATGTAGCAAAAATAATCGCAATTCAACTACTTGCAGTGCTATGACATGCTATCTGGATAAGATGTGTATAAAGCGAAGAAATAACAATTTCATCTACCTATACCCTCAACATTCTATCCAAACTAGCTCATATACACTCAATTAATGAATCCCTTGATTCTCATCTCAATCTCTGTCCAGCGCCAGAGCTCCTCCGCCAGCTTCGGATCTTGCGCAGTTGGAGTCGTTTTGCCAACAATGCCGACAGGTTTCAAATATTCTCCACTCATATCCTGATGAAAGCCTGGCCCGGCGATGGCGAAGAGAGACGTATATGCCGCAGTCTCAAGTGGGCTGTAGAGCCTGAAGAGTCGCATCACAGGGACAAATGCTTGCCATGCCCACGAACCGGTGGCGTTACGGCCTAGACCACTTGGGCATTTGATCAGAACATGGCATAAAGAGGAATATAGATAAAGAGATGACTCACGTGTCAATCGTGCCTGGATGCAGACTCGCTGTCCAAATCTCTTCGTGTCCGTCATTCTGAGGTGAAGGGCCATATCTGCGATGTAGTTCTTTGGCGTGCAAGATGTTGGCCAGCTTAGACATGCCGTACCTCGAAAATGCACTGCCCTTGGTTTGGTTTATATCATCGAAATCGATTCCCGCCGAGGGGGAAAACAGGAGATGGCCGTCGGAGCTAACGTTAACAACTCGGACGGTTCCAGGGCTGGTTGATCGTGCAGACTGGGTGAGGATAGGTAATAAACTGTAGGTTAGAAGCCAGTGGGAGAGGTAGTTTGTCTGAGTAACGTGAATTCAAGTGTTAGTCCAGATAATTGCCTTTCTCAGAATTATAACTAACCTGGAATTGAGCTTCGTAATGATCTACAGATTCCTCGTAAGGCGTTGCCATTATACCCGCGTTGTTCACTAGACCATGGAGCCTTGATTCTTTCCTATCCACATCATCATTAATCTCAATCACGATCCCAATGGGCGCTAATTCACTTGGTATACTTACCGTGCAAACTCGTCAGCCGCGGCCTTGACGGTCTTCAAGTTCATCATGTCCATTAACAAGACAGATATATCCGCATGAGGATATTGGCTTTTGAGCTCGACGATTGCGGCGTTGGCTTTGGCCTCGGATCGTGCACCCATGTACACTTTCGCCTTGTGAGCTGCCAATTCCAGTACGGTATTGAACCCACTGGTTCATGTATTAGCCAATTTCTACTCCCCCAGCATAACCATGCTGAAAATGACAAGTTAACATACATTCCGGCATTTCCTCCGGTTACAATGTAAACTTGCCCCGACAAGTCAGGAAGTGATTGTGGTGTAAACGTCATTGTAGATGGAGATTCGTGCTGGACTATGGCTCGTGGTGTTACTGCAGAAATTTGGACAATGAGAAGCTGCCAGCTCCTTTTTAATATTGAAACATGAGTTAGCTCGGGCCCGCGGATTCCACAATTTCCCCGTAGCTAGATACGGATGAGATTTGCATGAACCTAAAATATGTATGTATAACTAGCACTGCATAGAGCAACACGACAAGGCTTTCAAATACCCATTTAATGACTATTATCATAAGCCCCAAGTCAAAATGACAAGTAATGGTGCAATCAGAGACTAATCTTGTTTTTTAATTCTCCTTTTTAATAACTTTACTCTCTACATCGTAGCTGATTGCTGGCGATAAGCTTAGGCTGCTAACACACATAAATAGGACACGATATTCCCTACATAACTAAACGCGAACCAATATCTTAACTTGAGTGTCCTTGTAGTTAATCAGCGTTTTGAAGCCCTTTTCCTCAATTTGATCCATCTCAATCAAACTAGTAATCATTGGCTCCGGGTTCAGATCACCTATCTTCGTCAGCAACCTGTCACCTGACAGTCATGGTTAAAATGCCTTACCGCGGGCAAGAGCATCGATAACCTCCTGGAATACCGATGCCGTATATGTTGCCGAGCCTTTGAAAGTTCTCTCATTCAACATAAAATAGTTAGGCGAGATGGTAACCTCGGTAGCCCAGAGGGCTACATTCACAATGACAGATCGGGGTCTAGATGCAGCGAGTGCAGTCTCCAGAGTGCTCTGAACGCCGGCACAGTCAAAAACGACTTGAACGCCTTCTCCTGCGCAAAGATTCTTGCACTCTTCACCCACATTCGTCTTTGTAGGATCTAAAACAGTGGTAGCCCCAAAATTGGTCGCAAACTCTCGTCGTTTGTCTGCGGTCTCGGTAACAATGACCTGACTTGCACCTTTGCTCTTGAGAACTTGGAGAATGGCTAGGCCAATAGGGCCAGCACCGAGGATGAGAGCTGTGTCACCAGGCTGGAAGTTGCTCTGCTGTACAGCGTTCCAGGCCACAGCCAAGGGTTCCACCAGGGCTTGTGCTGTTAGTGGCGCATTGTCAAAGTTGAGGAGTAGATGTGCATACCGGCAACCTGCAGGGGTATGTTATCAGGAATCTTGAAGACCGCATATCGTGGGACAGTCGTGTACGTGGCCAACCCCCCTCCGATTCCTATGATGATGTCAGCCGCGGCATCCGCGTGTATGTCCTTGCGGAATTCCATACCACTCAGGCCGATGAATCCAGAGTTGGAGCAGCAATTGATCAGACCTCTCTGACAAGAACTGCATGTTCCGTCAAAAATGATCGGTTGGACAACTACCCTGTCGCCTGGCTTGAGATCATCAACCTCATCACCGACGTCCGAAACAACGCCACTATACTCATGGCCAATGATGACCGGGGCACTTTTGCCAGTCACAGGATGAGGTGTTGTCGGGATCAGGAAAGCACCCTCAAGATATTCGTGAAGATCTATATCTGCATGTTAGTAATGAAATTGACCAGATGTGTTGGCATCTACCTGTCCCGCAAATTCCAACAAAAGCCGGTTTCAGCTGTGCTTCTAGTTAGCCTTGTCATATTGTAAATTTGTCATCAGTGGAGGAACAACTGGCCTGAACTTCTTTGGCACCAGGCTTTGGGACATTGACTTCTTCGATTCTGATGTCGCCCTTGCCGTGGAACACAACTGCCTGCATGGTATCTGCCATCTTGTAACTTCTGTCTTTCTAAAACAAGAGTTGTCAATATTGTATTCTCAGTAGTAAGATTAGTCAAGATCGGTCTAGTTTGCAGTCAAGCTTAAGCATGTAGTAACGCAGTATATGACTATTCTGATAACAGCCAGGTGATAAATGCCGAGTGCGAAGACCCAACTCCACTATTTCCCCATGGGGTTGTACCAATGCGGGGTCTAGCAGTCTGGCTCCCCGTCCTCTCCGCATCATTTGTCGCCCCGCGGCGCGACACCCGCGGAGGACCGAATAACCCAACCCGACAAAGTTTGGGTCTAGACCGTTACGTTGGTGGCCACGGTCAGGCGACCTAACTGCGTCTCACTTACTGATGCGTTGCCGAACGTGTAAGTCCCATGTCATTATAGCAGATTTGATCTAAGTGGTCGTGTACTGTCCGTAGTCTTGCGCATGGCCCGAGACTCATATATTATCATATATAGTAAAGAAGAAATTAAAGTATCTTAATGTTCATCAATTATCGCTCGAAAGCAACTGAAAAAACCCTTTGTACTCAGCCTTTTACTTTCAAGATGTCTACCCAAGCGCACTCGAAGCCTCGGACGTTGAAGATTATCCATGTCGGCGCCGGAGCTTCAGGTCTTTTGACTGCTTACAAGGCTGAGCGCATGCTGCAGAACTACGAGCTTGTCTGCTACGATAAGTGAGTTCTGGCGTCTTGATCCAGTTTACATACAGGTTCTGACGTGTTCTCTCCAGAAACCCAGTCATAGGCGGGACGTGGTATGAGAATCGCTACCCAGGTATAACAAGAACGCTTCTCTCTGTAAAGACTCTCGAGGGCTAATATTTCAGGATGTGCGTGTGACGTACCTGCGCATATTTATACGTATTCATTCGAACCAAACACTGAATGGTCTTGTTACTACGCAAACTCTGCCGAGATTTATGACTATTTCCTCAGATTTGCAAAGAAGTATGATCTTGAGAAATATGCTCAGCTGCGAACGACAGTCATCAGCGCGACTTGGGATGAGAATGAAGGGAAATGTAAGTTATGAAACTCATCTTCGCAAGTTATAGGCGCTAACATCTTTTGGCAGGGGCTGTTAAGTTAAGCCAGGATGGCAAGGAAAGAATGGACTACTGCGACGTATTGATGAATGGATCGGGAGTCGTGAACAAGGCCAAATGTGAGTGCTTTTGAGCCAAAGCAAACTATTATGTCGTTTCTCACAGCCTAGCAGGGCCCGATGTTCCTGGTCTATCTTCCTACAACGGCACCACAGCTCACAGCGCTACCTGGGACCCCGCACTTAGTTGGCAAGGCAAACGGGTTGCACTCATCGGAACTGGCTCAAGCTCTGTTCAGATGCTACCACAGCTTGCCAAAGGTTTGTTTAGCGCAATTGCCGGTTTACAGATCTCTGCTCTGTGCTAATGCAGCCCTACGCATCAGGTTCAAAAAGCCTTCATGTCTTTGCGAGAAACTCGATATGGATCGTCCCTTCACTGGGCACAGATCTCAGCAAGGCCAACGAGGAGGGCCAAAATCCTTCTGAGCAACCTGGCACGCAGATCTATTCTGAAAAGGACAAGGACGAGTTCCGCAGAGACCCTGCTACACATCTACAGTACCGGAAAGGTCTTGAGGCAACCCTGACACGCAACTTTCCATTCTTTCTTAGGGATTCTCCAATGAGTCAGTGGGCCACTGCTGCCATAAAACAGGATATGCTCAAGAAGCTTGAGAGTGCTGATGAGGAGCTGAAACAAAAGCTCATTCCATCGTGGCCCCCAGGATGTTGGCGAATCACAGTAAGTAAATCCAGGTTATTGGTAGAATACCCCATTGACGATTGGCATCACCTTTGTAGCCTGGCAACGACTATCTAGAGAGCTTGGTCCAAGACCGTAAGTCCAAGTATCCCAGTATACACATTATACTTACCCTATCCCAGATGTCAAAGTCATCTTCGAAGGCGTTTCGAGATTTACTGCCACGGGTCTTGTCACGAGCGAAGGCAAGGAGTTCGATTTCGACCTTATTGCCTGTGCTACAGGGTTTGACATCTCATATACTCCGCATTTGTAAGCACATTCGCCTCTTGTAACCAGTTATTGATCACAGGATCGGTACTAATTTGAGTGTTGTAGCAAAATCACCGGTATTGATGGAGTTACGATGAAAGACGAATGGTTAGAGGTACGGGAAACACGACCCGCTTCATCCTTCGAAATACATGCAATTGACTGATTCGGTGTCACCAGAATCCAAACATTTATCTCGGTATCACTGGACCCAAGTTTCCCAACTATTTTGTCATCAATGGACCAACCGGCAACTGGGGTCAGGGATGCGTGCTTCCTTCGGTGAGTCAAGGCCCTACGCTCTACTATCAAATCGCAAAACTAATTAACATGTCAAAATTAGCATGAGGTTCAGATTGAGTATGCTATGCAATGCTGCATCAAGATCCAGAACGAGGGTATCAAGGCCATGGAGGTGAAGCAGCTGCCCACTACACAGTGGAACAAGCACCTCGACAACTGGCACACCAAGTACTCCGTCTGGGCTGGCAACTGCCGTTCTTGGTACAAGGCGAACAAGTCAGACGGACGGGTGTATATCTGGCCTGGGAGCATGCTTCATCTGCTCAAGACTATGAAGACGCCTAGGTTCGAGGATTTCAACATTACCTACAGAAACGACAATATGTGGGGTTTCTTGGGTAATGGTCGCACTCAGATTGAGGAGCTGGCTGAAGATGGAGTTGAGGTTGATCTTGCTCCGTTTATTCGGGATCAGGACGTTCCCTGGGCGATCGATGATCCTCATACTCTGGGAGCTGTTGTAAGCCGTGAGCATAAGCTTTGAGCGTCTTGATATAATTACCGGTGATTATGTATTGGGTTATCAAAGGTCATGTTAGATATTCACGGGACGGTATTTAGTATTAGAAGGCTTAGAATATTACCTAGAGCTAAAGGTGCAATATTAAGCGTTATCTAACTCTACCAAGGCAGTCTTTATAGCTTCTTCAGTATCGTACTCCCAGATCGTAGATAACGTCTCCCTCAACTCCTCAGACATCCTACTAAAATCACCACCGATCTCGGTCTGCTGTTCATATAGTTGACCTGCTCGTCTAGACTTCTGAACGACCCATTGAGCTCTTTCCCGTCTACTTCTATCAAAGGCAGAAAACGCTGCTTCGATGTCGGCTCCTACCCTGACTCTTTCATGTGACAATAAGGCAGCCAGCACAGCAGCATCTTCAATACATAAAGCTGCTCCCGCTCCATGATGTGGAGATGAAGCATGCGCTGCATCTCCGATGATGCATATACGTCCCTTTGCAAAGCTCGGAACTGGATGGTCCCCTAAGTCGAAGATAGCCCACTGTTCACTATTAGTACAGATATCACTAGTTGAAAATCTTAGATGTAGACTCACACGGTCAAGCCTCTCAGTATAGTCGAGAACCTTCAGCACAGATGGCCGGAAGTCCTCGAAATCAAGGAGAAGATCCTCCTTTGTGGCTGCAAGAACCAGCTGGCTTTCACTTGGCCACTCATCGGAGCTTGAACAATATGCCACCACATTCAAGATCGTCCCGTGCGCGACCGGATAGCTCAGTAGATGCTTGTCTTTTCCCATCTGCACATTTCATTCAATGTCAGACTGTATCCCGTGATAGGGAATCGACCTTTCGAGAACGACTCACCCAGATAGTGGCATTGAGAGCTCTCTCCTCCCCCAACACCTCGACCGCTTGTCGCATGGGGATCATCCCTCTGTAGGCATATTTGTGCGTGTAAGAGTACTTTGATGACGGATGATCGGCCCCGACTAGAATTTCTCGAACTTTGGATTTGATGCCGTCGCAGCCAACAACAGCATCAGCTTCCTCAATTGCCCCGTCCTGGAAGACAAGGCGGATTCTACCAGTGTTACCTTCCTCCACTGCTTGAAGTTGCTTATTAAAGTCAACGACATCGCTGGGCAATAGCTTGAGAAGTTCATTTACGAATGAGCCCCTGTGACAGCCCTGCAGTCCCGTACGATTCTCGATATGGAACAGAGGGGAGTCCGTAGTCGCTGTGTCCATGCCGTCAAGAAACTCAAAGACGAAGCTTTTCTTGGACTCCCAGATGTTACCACTGGCGACTTTTTTAAATGCATTATGCACGCTTGGATCGCAAGCTACCATGGCGTCTTGTGCATTGGGACTTATTCCCAGGCCGGCACCGATGTCGCTAAAGGCGTGCGCTCTCTCGTAGATTTTGCAAGGAATGTTCCTCTTGAGAAGCGAAATTGCGAGGACAATTCCAGCAATGCCACCGCCAATAATGGCAACTCGGAATTCTTTCTGACCTTGGGCCATGATTAAAAATGCTAAATTGAATCTAATGTTGTCTGGAGGAAAGACATCCCCATGAGTAGTTGAATGTTGTGGTCTTTATAATTATGTACAATTGCAGCAGCTTATGTGACAACGCCATACTATGGTATGCCAAAACAGGCAGTTGTATGCGCACACAGATATACATATCAAGAATGAAATTGGTGGTGATTTGCAAGAATCATTGTTCATCCAGGCTTGACGTTGCATTTGACTTCCATGTTTCATGTGCTATATGCAATCTCTCCCCGTTGCCGTGCTTGCCGAGTTTAGCGGGCGCAAACCTGTTACGGTAGATATTATGTACGGAACACAGCCCCGGAATCGAATTCCGTCGAATTCCGACCGATGTGACCAATGTATCTACTATTTTGACATATAATGCCTTGCCAGTAGAGGCATAAAAGCAGTAGGACAAAAGGGTATGAAATTTCGTATAGCTAGCCTCTTTATTTCTATTATTGCAAGGTATTTTCTATCAATTTATATCTAGTTACCCTTGAGGGTAAACAGAATTGCCATTAAAGGGGCGGGTAGACTTAGGTTGTCAGATTTAGACTCAGGGTATCTTAGGAAATAGTTTTAGGGTTAAGCGTTTATATGATATTA